AATCCGCTTAAATCGCCGCGTAAATATTGGCAAAGAAAAAGAAAGTAAAAAACCGTCGGGGGTTTAGGGAAGGAGAAGGTATGCGTGTTGATGATGCTGACACTTTGGTGTATACAAATGCAAATACCATTAAATGTGACAAGTGGCAACATAATTTGTAAGGAGCGCTCTCGTCGTCTCCTTTTATTTTTTTCTCCATTCTCCGATTCGTGTCCTCCCCAGGATATTAGCATACAAAGTAGCCAACATTTGTAATGCTGTCAGCGGCAAAGGATGGGGCAGCAATTTTGGGTTCAGAAAGCTTTGACAGCGAAATGTGCGACGCCTGTCATATTTTCCCATAATAACTTATTTGTCAGCTCTAAAGTGCGGTGGCGTGCTGATTGGTCAGCTGAAAACTGTCAAAATGCCACTTTGTTGGAGAGGAACGAGGGGTGATTCAATCTGTTTTTGAAGTAACCTTCAACCTATTTAGGTATTCATGTCTAAGGCGACGATCAGACGGTAAATGATTGGAACAAAATTATCTTTTCATAGACCTTGCACTAACATTTTAATACTAAATCGATTCGCTTAGATAGATATATTTAGATAGGTATTTTATTTTTCAACAAAAAGTATCATTCTAATATCACTATGGACGGCAGTCCATGTAGTGACGAAGCGCACCAGGAGAGTGTGCGAAGGCGACTACTATATATACACGAAGAAATGAAAATCTACTGTGATGGTCCGATTATAATGAATGATACACCTATCGAAAGGTATTGCGAAAACTAACAGGATTGCATACCAAGACTCTAAGAAAATTAATTGGCTTGGGTGAGAGAGCGGTGAAAGTGAAAAAGTGAAAATTTCGAAATTTGGAGCTGTTGGGGCCGGTGGGGATAAATGCCCCCTCGAAATGTTTTAGTTGTATTCCTTTTGAAAATACCCGTCGAATGAGGGGTCATTTGTCAAAATCCGACGCTCCGTTCAAAAGTTATAGCCAAAATAAGATTTCCCTCGTCTTCCCAAAATGAAAATTTAATTCTGTTTGTCAGTTTGTCAGTTTGTCAGTTTGTCAGTATGTCAGTTTGTCAGTTTGTCAGTTTGTCAGTTTGTCAGTTTGTCAGTTTGTCCAAAACATGTTTTTTAAGTTTTGAAAATTTGATATGACGTTCATCACATCGATATGAAAAACTTTTGTTCTACCACTTTTGGAAAAACTCGCTAGTTTAGCGGGAAAACAGCTATAAATAGCTAAAATTCGGAAATCCGTAACTTATATACTACTAAAGCTACAGACTTGTGCTGCATCTCGTTTGAAAGGTATTTTTAAAAGCTATAAACGCCTTCTATATGCAATTTGTGTAAATGTAATAATTAAAAAAATATGAACAAAAGACAATTTTTTAAAACTTTTTTTTAGCTTTTTTTTATTTTTCTCAAAAACGGCTCTAACGATTTTCTTTAAAACCTTAAACTGTATAGCCCTTGAGATTCCTTAAATTTTGGTATATAACACATTACTGTAAAAAGTCACGTTTAAAAGTTATTTTTATACGAAAATAGCCACTTTTGCCAGCTCGAACAATTAACGCTCCCTGAGTATTGAATTTTGTGGGAGGGTATCCGAACTGTATTTTAGGGTCATGGAATCAGTAAATTTGCACTTAAGAGTTCCATATAGGAATCTTTTGTTCTACGACTTTTGGAAAAAGCCGCTACTTTAGCGGGAAAAAGCTAAAAATAGCTAAATTTCGTTAGTTTGTAAGTTCTACACTACTAAAGGTACAGACATGTGCTATACCTCGTTTAAAAGGTATTTTGAAATACTTCAACGCCTTTTTAACTTAATTTGTTAAAATACAATAGTTTAAAAATTATGATAGCAAATGTAAACAAACAAAAACTTCTGATATCAAATAAAAACACCTCTTAACGAGGTAAAAAACTAGTGACGACCGCACCTTCAACATACAAAAGTTCTGATATCAACATTTGTGACGAAAAATTATTACACTCGTCATTAAATAGACTTTCTAATCTTTTCTCATTCGTCACGCTGCAATAGAAAATGCCTGTAAAGGGAAAAAGGCTGGAATAGTTTGCTAGGGCGGGCCGAATAAGAAAATATTAGAAAGTCTATTTAATGACGAGTGTAATAATTTTTCGTCACAAATGTTGATATCAGAACTTTTGTATGTTGAAGGTGCGGTCGTCACTAGTTTTTTACCTCGTTAAGAGGTGTTTTTATTTGATTCTTATATCTGCAAATCAGTTTTCTGATTGCAAATTGTTTTTATGTTAAATATTTATTTTTAAATAAGTTAACATCTAGTTCAACAAGCTTACAGAACCACACTACTAAAATTATGGTATTAAATTTTCTTTTACTATATAAATTACATCTTAAAGAACTCCGAAGTTTCATCACCTTTGCCATTAACTTTATTTGCGCTTCGGAATCGCAATCAAAAAATCACCTAAACAGCAAAGGGAGACTTAGAAAACTAAGAACGGCAAACCGCAGCAGGAACTCATTCCAATCCTCGAAATCCCACCACTGCCATCGGCTCCAGCGACCCCCAACAACTTTACTACTCGCATGACCCCACCTAACCAGAACTCACAAAAATGTTACACAAACGTGCCTTGAACGATTTTTGTGGCTTTTTTGCTTTCTGCTCTAAACAACAAAAGCATTTTGTCTGGGGATACTACAATGGCGTTAGGGCGGAGCATTTTTCTGGGCTTCATGTGGGGTGGGTGGGAAAGTGTGGTGTGGGGTTTGCGGAAGATGTGTGAATTGTTTGGCGTCCATGTGTGTTTGTTGTTTATTTACGGAACCAGCCAAGAAAAACCCCAAAAAGGCAGCCCAACATGAGGCTTTGTAGCGGCAAACTAAGAAAATATCGCCAGGAATGTGAGGAACATGTATGTACATATCGCAGCCTGCTCATATCCCTGCCATTGTTGTGATGTTCCTCAGGATCCCGGACTTTTTCGGTGACTTTAGTGGGGACGGTTCCAAAAACGAAAACTTCGTCTTGTATCGCTATGAAAAACCTTTGAAACAGTCATGAAACTAAGAAGGCTAACACAATCTCAAAATACGGCGAAAGTTTTTTAGGATAACATCTGTTGACTTTAATTCTTTCTTTTTAAACTGTTCATAAACCATTGATTAGTTTAAAAAATGTATTTTGAAAAAAGTTAAAAAAAAAAATTTGTTTTCAGCTATATCTCTAAAGTTTTTTTTATTGTTTTTGCTAGCACTTAAATATTCAATGATATTTTTGATATTCTTCGTGATAAGCATTCAGTTATAATTTTAATTTAAAAAAAAAATAAAAAAAAAGATATTATTATATAATTTTGTCCTTTATCGGTTTCTACCGCTGTAGTTTCATCTTGTTGTTACTTTTCCAGTTGCGCTTTTTGAGGGGTGCTCTATTTTTCATTTGGGTGGTGGCTAGCGCAATACGGACCCTTCTCTTTCAATCCGCCCCATCACTTTGGTCCACAAGCCACCATCGCTGCGAAAGTCCTTGGGTTGACTGACGTCTAAGTTCGAGCTTTGGGCATCATCACTTGAGTGTCAATACATTTTAGTCGCATTTTCAGCGAACGGATAATGCGTGTAATCCGCTATTAAGTGCACATTGTCAATCGACCCTCACGCCTGAGTCCTCCACCCCAGAAGAGTGGCCTTTGCGTGTGAGAAAATCTGCAACGATTCTCACGCTGTTTCTGTCCCGGCTCTTCTGTGCAGTGAACCCATCAATGGTAGCTTCTGAATACTGAACACTGAATACCGAATACGAACCGGCACCCATGAAATGGGTTTGGCTCCTGGATGTAGTCGGCCAAAGTCCGCCACCCCAACGACAGTTGATACCAAGAATGTTCGACGCTATTATGTGTTTTTATGCTACATTTAAGTTGGCTTAAGAGCTTTAAAGCTAGCATTGTTGCATTGAGCTGTGTATTCGGTTTGGTTATGGCTATCCGACTACCGCTTACCGGCTGGAAGGGGGTTTAATGTTTGATATTCAAATTTGGCTATTTGGTTGCTAGCTTGTAGAATTACAAATATTCCTTTTCTTTTTTTAATTTGTGTGCTTTGGTTATTTTAAGAGAAACTTTCAAATTTATGTAATAGAAGGTATCGACCTTTTAAGTTTCAAGGAACTTCTGTAATGCCAGATTGAACTTCTGTTATTTTTTACTAATGAAATTAACGGATTCGTTCAAAAACAAGCCCAAGTAAAAATATTTTTTATTATCTTTTCAAAGGTTTTTAGAAATTATAAAGATAATGAACGAAAAAGTATAGTTATCTTAAATTAAATTGATTAGTCTAAAAATTAATTTAAAAATTGTTGTTTAGAAAAACTTATTTGTATTTATTATTTTCTTTTTTGAAGGCAAGCACGTTTAAAAAATGATCAAATTTGACACACACGTAATGGCTATCGCCGATTAAAATTTTGTAGTTCTGTAAATTAAATGTGCTTTATAAGTATTCTAATTATCTGAGTAAAATAATAACTTTTTTCTGGATTTTGGTAATTTTAACTACCCAAATACTAAGAATTCAGCTACCTTTCTGTTTTTTCTAAATCATAACTAGCCTAGGAATTTTGTTTGGTGTAGCTTACAAAAATCAGATTCAACACTTTCCCCATTAAGTGTTTCGCCCCCGAGGCACGACCACAGGATTGGGGCTCGCATAATTTATAATCAGCTTAATGACAAATTCAGCCAAAATTCAAATGGTGTTTTTCAGAGTCTGGCCACAAATGTAGGGAAGGAGAAAGCCGTCGGCATTTCGGTTTCCGAGTTTAATGTAATTTATGCCCAAAAACCTTGACGTAAACAGACTTGTCGAGCTAATTTGCTGCATAATTAAGTGTATTTAGAATGCAAAACAATACTTGTGGGCCAGGACAAAACTGCGGAGATTGGCGGTCCTACAGGGAATGGTATGATGATAATGACATGGTTTTACTCACCATCCTTGTTCATGGCCGATTGAAAACACTTGGCCAGGCGACACGCGCGACATTGGTTACGATGGGTCTTGTCCACAGGACACCGACCCTTGAGATCGCCGGTGGCCTTACAGGTGTAAATCCGATTTCGATGGATGCTCCGCTTGAAAAAGCCCGAGCAGCCTGAAAGGAATTAGCTAGGCTTACACTGTTATTAATTTAACCGTCTCAGGGACTCACCATCGCAGCTGTAGATTCCATAGTGCTTTCCGGAGCTACGATCGCCACACACTTTGCAGGGAATATCCAACAGGCGATCGCCCGCTAAAAATTGTACAGAGAAATATAGTAGCTTTGAAATCGGTAAATAACACTTATCTTTAATTTTATAGATCACTATGGACGGCAGTCCATGTAGTGACGAAGCGCACCAGGAGAGTGTGCGAAGGCGACTACTATTATATAGCCGCAAAATTGAAAATCTGCTGTGATAGTCCGATCGTAATGAGTAATACACCAATCGAAAGGTATTGCAAAAACTTAAAGGATTGCATACCAAGACCACAAGAAAATCAATTGGTTTGGGAGAGAGAGAGGTGAAAGTGAAAAAGTGAAAATTTCGAGCTGTTGGGGCCGGTGGGGATAAAAGCCCCCTCGCAATGTATTAGTTGTATTTCTATTGAAAATACCCGTCGAATGAGGGGTCATATGGTAAAATCCGACTCTCCGTTCAAAAGTTATAGCCAAAATACGATTTTCTTCTTCTTCCCAAAATGAAAATTGAATTCTGTTTGTCAGTTTGTCAGTTTGTCCAAAATATGTTTTTTAAGTTCCGAAAATTTGATATGACGTTCATCACATCGATATAAAAAACTTTTGTTCTACCACTTTTGGAAAAACCCGCTAGTTTAGCGGAAAAACAGCTATAAATAGCTAAAATTCGGAAAGCCATTTGTGACGAAAAATTATTACACTCGTCATTAAATAGACTTTCTAAGATTTTCTCATTCGGCACGCTTCAATAGAAAATGCCTATGAAGGTAAAAAGGCTAAAATAGTATGCTAGGGCGGGCCGAATGAGAAAATATTAGAAAGTGTATTTAATGACGAGTGTAATAATTTTTCGTCACAAATGTTGATATCAGAACTTTTGTATGTTGAAGGTGCGATCGTCACTAGTTTTTTACCTCGTTAAGAGGTGTTTTTATTTGATTGAATTAAGCCTTATAAATATTTGATAAAAAAATATAATTTTTTTTTGTGAATTGATGAAGCAGTACTTAGTTACAAAATGGTCAATAATTTGGAAGTATTGCAAATTTGTATAGGTCATTCTATTGATGGCAACTTTCTTAGAAGCTGATAATTAAAATTACACTCAAAAAATTATTCGGCCTGATTTTGAAAAATTTGCTTCACTGCCGATTTATATAAATATAAATTTAAGTTCGCTTCGAATTTACAATATGAACTGCGTTCTCCAAAAAAAGCCCCGACGAAAGGATTTTAAGAAAAAGGACCTCAATGTTGGAAAAATTCATCAAAGTTAGAGGCAATATATTTGCTTCAATTTCAAGTGTTAAATAAAATCTTTAATATTTATTTGGAAACATTAGAAATATTTCTATAATATTTGTTTGCGGAACTTTGAAAATATTTATTTTTACTTTTGGTGGGACTTTGGTTGGCACGTGTTGCCAATTTCCACTCAATCCGATGTGACTAACGTAATAAATATTAGTTTTTACTTGTAGCGTTGGGATATAAAGAAATAAATGAAATGAAACTTCACTTCACTATCACCTACGTTACAATAGATTTGGTTCCTTCTAGTTAAACAGATTCCTCTACCAGGAACTTTTGCAAATAAATGCATATAATCATTCGTATATTTAACTTTTATTAAGCGCTAAGCCCACGACCTCGGAGCTCGCCGAAACCCTGAGCGCAAAACCAGTGAGTCACGCCCAAGAGAAGTTGCCTACTTTGTGGCGCTGCTTCGAGTGTGTTTGTCGCGGATTAGCTTGTGAAAATGGCCCGCACGCTCCCTCAGCCTGTGTGTGTGTGTGAAAAGGAGGGCATCCCTTTGACTGGCACGCTTCGCAAATTAAGTTCAACACTCGGCACTTGTCAAAATAAAACGCTCGCCCTTTGTTGTGGTTCTTTGTCCTGTGACATTTGACATATTGTCTCTGGTAGAGTTCGCTCGGTTTTGGTTTTCGGTGGGAGTTCGGTTGGCGCGTGTTGCCAATTTTCACACCCTGCGGATCGGCAATTGTCCGCAGCGTGTTAACACCTCTCGAGTGGACGGACGTATCCCGCCCTTTTCTGGGGTTGCATCGGAATCGGAATCTGAAGGCCCATTGACACCTTCGGCAACGGACCTTTTTCAGCCCGTTGTTTTCTTTTTTAAATTTTGGTATTGTTGATTTTACATATTTCTGTTTATTTATGCCACTTGCTACTTTAGAGTCCCCTTTTTTGTTAGTTCCCGTGAGTGGGTTATGTCTTTATATTAACCATTTACAATATGCTTTCTGAATTTTTATGGAAATCTCGGACATGTTTGGATAGGCAAAACGCTTGTAGGGTGTGGGAAAAACGTGAGAGGTTGCATTATCGGCGTGAGAGCTTCAGAAAATGGTTTTTAAAAATTAAAATGACCTTACGAAATAGAATGGAGGTAGAAAGCTATAAATAAAACAACATCTGGTCCGGAAGCAGATAATTTAAACCTCTCACGATACAATCTTTATAAAACTTATAGGAGTATGTTAACTTTAATGATTCTTCAATGACAAAGGAAGAAAAGATTTTTATATTATAGCCTAATAAAAATAAATATTACCTGCCAAAATAAGAAATTTAAATGTATTTTAATCTGTTGGTAATTTATCCCATTTAAATGCTAATATGTGAAAAATTTCTGTACTCAGCGCCTTATTTACGTGTTAAGATATTTAGTAATGAGAAAAGCAGCAATTTGAGGCTATGCGCAAAGAAATGCATTTAACAAAAATAATTTTTTAATATCTTTAAAATCCATGGTATTTGTAAAAAAACTTCATTCAAATTAAAAATGCAACACAATAAAGAAAGGAGCAAAATTAAAAGGCTTCTACGTTAGTCATATCAAAACCAGACACCTAAAATTTTTTAATCGGACCAATTTATAAAAAGTTTTGAGCAATAAAAAAATTTGAACTCTTTGCTCTGGCAACCACATTTTTAAAGATAGAGATTAAAAATCAGTGGCCGATCTAGGATTTTGTTGTAGGCGGTTATATCAGAACAATTTTATTGTTTCATTCTTTTTGAATACCAACATTCCTTTAATTTTTCATCCGATTGGGGGTGATATATTACCCATATCACCCTCCGTGGATCGGCGCATGGTAAAAATGCTTCATACACATTTTACGATTACCTATACCTAGAACATGTTTTTTTCTTTTACACCCACAAAACCCTTCAACGCTAAAATCGTACAAGCGCCCGCATTTTTAAAAATTTTGTTAAAGTGTAACTGAAGGTTTGATTCGATCATCAATACCCATGTACTTATTCAAAATTGTACAAATCATTTACTAAAAAGTTATGCACAATCAAAGTTTCATATCTCATCTCTCTCGCACTCCCCTTTTGCTGAGCACATGGTATCTGATAGTCGGGGCACCCGAATAAAGCGGTCTCCTTGTTATTCTCTTCAAGAAGAAATTATGGTGAAAGTATATTTATGAATATTTGATTCGATTTTGGGATTTTTTTTGAGCTAAAAAATGTTTGATTTTTAATTGTTTTAAATTTTGATTAGCTTGGCGGGAAATAAATAGAAAAAGGCTAATTTTTCACTCCTGCAATTGCGAAAATATGGTTAACAACTCGATACAAAAAGCTTTTTAAAAACTTCTGATATCAAACAAAGAAAACTCTTCACGAGGTAAATAACTTAATGCATTTTCGTGCAGCGTGCCGAATTGCAAGTTATATGAACATGACAGACTGCACATACTTTCATTACTGCTGGAAAATACTATCAAAGTGCTTGAACATAACTTAAGTAATATTTATTGTAAAGTAAAAGTAAATATGCCGCGCTGCAAATATTGGTAAGAAATAAGTCTTTTTGTAGGTTTAATCAGGTTATTGTTGTTTGGAGCTCTTTAAATGATTTTCAGAAAGAAGTGTAATTATGCACAGATGCATAATGCAAATTGCCGTCGGTAGCCCAATCAAAAATTCCGACGCATTCCTTTACCTGTGCCCATTTTCCGTTGGTGGAAATATTTGAACCCTAATGTATCCAGTTTGCTTAGATATACGTTCTACACAGCGCACTTTAAATTTGTGTAAAATAGTGTTTGACTATTTGATGATTTATTGGGATCACCGGAGCACAAAGTCACTTGCAATTCGGGGTAATGATTTTAAGACGTTCAGATGCCGACGCGATTTGCTGCCGCTGGAATCTAAAGTATGAAACCTGCTGCGGACGCAAATGCGATTGCGATTGCGAAAACGGATCGCCTGGGCTGACGGACCAACTGCGAATGAAACGGGAAGCTAAGGCTGGCAGAGCCAGCAGCGAACAGACCGCCAATTACGAAAGTGAAGCTGCCAAGGAGAGGTCCTTTTTTGCAGTCAATTTGACAGGAGGGCGAGCCAAGCCAAAGGCAGTAACCACCCACTCACCCACCGCCCCTTCGCCAAAGCCACAAACGGAAAAGCGAAAAACACAGCTGAGATGGGAGAATGAAAAGCAGAGAAAAGCGAGAACGTAAAACCGAGAGCCGGGAAAAAGCAAAACGAACAAAAACAAACAGAAAAAAAAAAACCAAACGAAAGTCGAAAATTTACGAAAAGCTACCAAATGTTACATTTCATCCCTTGATAGTGGACCGACCATCCACCCACCCACCCACTCTACTGAGCACAGTTGAGTCCTGGAAAAGAGAGAAAGAGAGTCGAGGGAGGAGAGCGAGGAGTGCCGGGTAACCAACCGGAAAACGCCCTTTTTTCAGTGCCCCTGCGATGATGCGATTACAGCAAATGAGGGGACTTCCTGCCGTCCACCATTTTTGTTTTTTTCCCAACCAGCCCACCAGTCCACCATCCCACCCACACACGCACACACCCACACACCCACACAAGCGCAGTGACGCTCGCTCCGCACGCACACTGCCGCACATATCCTGTGGCTTTCGACAATTCACCACAAAATGTCAAGAATGACGAAAAGCTAGATGTGGAACGACTGCGACGTTGTATTGGTATGTGCTGCGAGCTGTCCTGCTCCCACAGCTTGCCTTTTCGCTCGCCATCCTTCCGTTATCCTGCTCCCGTGCTTGGCAAATATCCTTGGTCGGCAGAGATGCTGAACTCTCCTGGCTTCTCTCGTTTTTTCTACATATTTTTTGCTCTTTGTTTGGTGGAATCCGTCGCTTGTAGGCTGTCGGATTATTAGTTCTAAAGTCAGGACCTCTTCCGACGGAAGGGCGCTACAGTTAGGGTACATTTAACAGTTCGAGTCACTTGAGTTTGATCTTGCACATGAACGGAAGGGTTTCTGTGAATTACTTTGTGTAAATTAGTTCCTGCAGGATAAGTTCTCAATCAGATTGTATTTTTAGCTTTCTAAATTTCCCAAAATAACACTAAAAGGGACGAAATTCGAAGATTGCAAATAAATTAAAATTGAATTAAGCAGTATATTTAAAAAATTTTTTAAATATCTCGGTTATTTCCAATAATTTAAAAATAGTATTTGCTAATTTTATTTTGTCGTTCTGAGAATATTTTTTATAAGGCTCAGATGACACATTCAATTTTTAGCCCCAATTTATTGTGACAATTTTTCATTTCTGTGAGTTTAAATAGGTGCAAGCGAGTCAGGATTAATATGATATCGCGCCTTTATCATTGGTGTTATTGGTAGAGCAGTCAAAAATATTTGATTCTTTCTCGCGCTCGTTTGAAGTCACATTAAAGAAAAATTGCTACAATAAATTGGCGTTAAAAATTGAATGTGTCATCTGAGCCTAATCAATATAAAATATTAAACAGTTCTAAAAATATTATAATTCGAAATGAAGTTGGATTCGAATGCAAACGGAAACGAATGAAGAAGTCCTTAAAAAAATTAACTAGCTAGGTAATAATTTTTATGTAATACTTACTTATTGCTTAAATGTCGTAAAAAGAATGTATGATAGTAATCAATTAATTTCTTGGTAATATAAAGGTAGAGTATTAGGCAGTTGGATGATTCTTATACTGGTAGGGAATATAAATTTAGACCGAAGCAGAATGGATCGATCCATATAGAGGAGCAACATTTCACATGTGGCAGCGGTATATAGCTTTCTCACATCTATACCTGCATTTGATTCGGAATGCTAGTGTTTTCGGGCAATTCCGCAATGGCGTTTCCCCAGCTGGCACTGGCTGGAGTAACTATGGCTATCGAAATCGCAATGGCAATCGCAATCGGAGCTCGGTCGGTTGTTGGTATGTTGATAGGGGTTGATTTACTGACTCTCATCCAAATTGAAGTGACTTTTGCGACAGTGTGAGCGGGGTGCTCACCCACCCACCCACACACACACATACACGCGGCCTGAACGTCTTGCTGCTCATGACACTCGGCTTAGAGGGTGGAGTCTTGTAAGTCGATTCGGCGAGGGGCTCAGGATAAGCCCCGTGTCCATTACACAGCCCATTTGGCTGGCTGTGGTTACATGGACGGCCCACTGTCGCTCGTATATAACGCAGTCAGGCCCCCCAAAAACACCTCCCGAATGCGATCCTGCGGTTATATTAACCAGTCAGAACGCAAAGTCATTTGCAGCAACGACGTGAACGTCGACGCCGTCGGTCGTAGCCCAGCCACCCCGCCACCAGCCACCCACCAGGCCGACCCCGGAACCACCCCCTCCACCACCCCGCTCTCCACACACATGGCAAATTTGCGGCATCAAGAAGTCGCATTTTTCTATGCCCCCACCCCTCTAGCTCGCACTCGCGCTCTCTTTCGCTCCAACAACCCCGGCTGTTTTGGCTTCCAAATGGCTAGGCCACGCCCCCGAGGCTAGGAAAACTCACCACTTTCCGGAAAACCTGCGCAGGCGCCCAAGCCCGAGTTCGAACTAGAATTCGAAGTGCAAGTTTCGGTGAAAAAGGAGGCTTGGTGCTTTCATTTCTCTGCCAGCCGAGGCTGGCAATGCTCAAAGTTCATTCGATTCGGCCTTTTCAAACAAAACGGAAGTCCGTTTAGATAAAAAAAATATATTTTCTAAAAACCGTATACTAAAATTGGCGCTCTGATTTGCTCGGCTCCATTTAAAAGTGTCAGGTAAAGTTAAAAAATATTAGAAACAAAAGAATTGTTATAACCATTTAGTTTCCAGTGAACATGGACGGCTTTTATAATAACAACGGTTGCGGCTTCAACAACAGCGGCTACTCGCAGAGTCCGCGGAGTGGCAACTCTGGATCCTGTTGCGGTTGCCCCGGTGGCCATTGCCCCCGAATGGAGGCGGGTGGCAGTGGCAATGGGACTCAGGGACAGAGCCGGCTGTGTTGTCCTGGCGGCAACTGTTGTCCCGGCGGACGCTGTCCGATCGGAAAGTCGCGCTTCAATCCAGACTGGCAGAATGGCGGACGCTAGCACCAAAGAGCTGGCGGTTTCCTGCCTGGCAGATCGGAACGCCTCTGGAATGGACTTCCACCCACACTTCACCCGAAGAGCTTGCCCAGGAACCAGACATCTTCTCACACGGCGACTCAAAATGGAGCGGATGCTGAATGTGACGATTACGAAAATTGTCAATACAGATAAATTGAATGTATCATAAATATAGAGAAGTACCTAAATATGCGTATATTATTCGAGACAGCAATTTGTAGTAGAATGGACGGACCCTTTGTTGATTTAAAATCTACGTCTTTTGTGGCTTGTGGGCGTTAAATAGGCACTGAGGCAGGAACCCCTAGAATCTGCACAAGAATTTCAAACTTCTAGATTTCATAGTTTTCCAGATCTCAGCGTTCATACAGACGGACACACGGACATAGCTAGATCGACTCGTGATCCTGATAAAAATCCTATACAAACTTTAAGGGTCGGAACGCTACCTTCTACTGTTACATACTTTCTGATTACCTTAAGGGGTTTAAAAAGTGCGATTCGATCCCGCGACCTTAGGTTTTGTCTGAGTCTGAGTAACAACTGCAATAGTAATGAATCTCTGTCTCTCGATGAAAATTACAGGTTTGGGGATGCTGCAGACAGCCATACGGACAGACGGACATGGGTTTTAATTTTATTTTTTGTGACTCAGAAATTATTAACTGTTGAAAACGCAGAAACATCATCTAATAAGTGTGATCGAGTGTTAGTGGACTGCCTATTGTTGCTTATATTTTATAAACGGAATTTTTTATTTGGGGCTATTAAAGTCATTCATAAGACCTCATAAAATTCTATAAAGATTATCGTTTATAGGTTATCTGTCCTGTCGGGCTGCTCTGTTGACCACCCTAATTAGTATACAAGTAATTAACCACGCTGCACTAACTCGTCAGCTAAAAAGTTTCCTAACACGGCTTTTGCTTTTGGGGAATTGTAACTGTGTTTTTGGTCAATTTGAACAATGGATTTTTTGTATTTAGCAGTACTGATGGACAAATCTCCGACGCACACACATACCTACAGAGGTAGATGCATCCGAGTCGTCTGCGTGGCGTTGACCCATGCCATGCAACGATGTTACGGGCTAATACCTTCATGTGAGCAGGACCACGTGCGCTCCTCCTTCTCCTTCCTCCTCCTCCTGGCGTGTCTAACGCCGCTCGTGATGAGGTGGCTGTGGCTGGGTGGTTGCTGAGTGGTTTGGCGTGGCTGTGCTCGGGGTTGCTCTAATTCCACTGCCGCATCCGAGGCATCCGGGGCATCCGGGGCATGCGAGGCTGTTCCTGGTTGTTGCTGCTGTGCACCCGTAAAATTGATTGCGGCGAAAGCTGGAAAGCTGCACGTTATGCTCGTGGCCTGACTTGGTATCTCTGGTCTGCTCTGTTGCGACGGATGCTAGGAAGGCATGGGGAAATGGATGTGGCTTGGTGCGTTTGTGGGTGTGGCAGTGGGAGGCACTGGCAAAAATTTAATTTTTTTGCGCAATTTCTTTCTTTTCCTTTTTAAATTTTCCTGTCTACTCCTTTTTTATAATTATTAGCCAGCCAAATTAAAAAAAAAACAGTAAAAAGTTTTCAACTATATCCAGATATTGACCTTTTCTAACAGAAGGTTCCGGTTGCTTATATACCAATTCATTCAAATAAGGAAAAAAAATCGCAATAACTTACGGCAACAAAAAACTCACATAACAAACTAAACGTTGTGTTTAGAAATTCCATTTAATCTTACACCCAAAAAAGACTTGATATGATATGTTCAATTTAATATTATGTGGTATTAATTCTGATTTGATATGCGGCATTTCAATTTGATATGCTCGAAATGTAAACAACATGTTCTAACTAGGCCTGTTCTAATTTCGAATGGATAATTCTTCTTCCCGCTCACGTAATTTAAGTCGCCAGATGGTTTCTTCCTCTCTTTTTTGAAGTCATAGAACCTCCGAGAGAGGGAAATCACTTTACCAATATTGCATGGTAAAAAAGATATGCGTATAAATAACAAAAATTTACAATGCGCTACTCGATTTGATCCCGGCGTGTTTTTTTGTGTGTACAACTAATTTAGTTTTACCCTAGTTTATCTCTAAAGGTAAAGTTCCGCTCGCTCAAGCCAGCATCCTTGATATTTATTGAGCCCAATAATTATATTCAGACTTGCAGTCAGTTTTCTATCCATTGTGTCTTTAATCTTGTCCGTTCCGTTTAATCATCGATTTCTGTGGCTCATCCTGTGGTAGCTGTCATGGATTACAGGCTTATAAGTGGCCTGCTCCTCGAACCCGTTGATTCGGTGTTTCCGCTAGGCGTATGCACAAACTCAGAATTAGCAAACAGCCATCAATCCTGTACTTTGCTATGCTATGCCGACCCACGCCCCGAATTGGATGGACAAGTGCCACAATTCACATCATCAAGATTGCGTGGATCTTGTACCCACACACTCGTGCATATCCCATATACCATATAGCATAACCCATATCACACATCGCATATCCCATATGCAGCCCACCTTTTTGGCCAAGGCTAATTCGCTTGTCATGCTGACGATGAAGCACTCCTCTCGTTGGCGGCGAATGAGGCGTGGGTGCGGGGAATTAACCCTTTTGCCGGGCTGTGTGCACAGCAATGTGTCTATAAAAAACAATGATGGACATTGGGGACTTGGGCATAGAATAATAGTACATCAAAAATTTTACAGCAACGAAATAAAATCATTTACGCAACATCGAGACCCAAAAATAAATGGCAAGAAAGGCGTAAAGAAAACGAAAACTTCAACAGCTTCGGGAATCGGAAGTGACAATTGAATGCTCTTTGTAGAATGAACCAATTAATAGTTTTAGAGTGATTAGTTGAATTAATTTTCTTTATTAAATTAAAGAAAAAAGAAAAAAAAAATACACAAAGTCTTAAAATCTATTAAAATATTCTGACCTTTTACCGCTGTAATTCCTCAAGTAGATTCAATTCTGAAAAGATGTATAGGGTATAGCAGGACTAGAAGAAGACAACGCTAAGCGGATGTAGCACGCTTATCCTTTTACACACTCCCACACTCGCAGAAGGACATCTGGGCATTGGGTTTTATTTTTGCATTATTATTTTTACTTTATTTAAACCACACAAAATACTTAAGACGATTTTGTGTTTTGTGGCCCAAGATGTATTGCCCATGGCCAGCAGCAAAAGGAAAAGTGTGAAAAGAACCGGGAGCGGGTGGCAAAAGTTTTCCACCGAAGAGGTGGGCGGCGGACTGAAAGGGTAATGTGCAACATGTCCGAGCGGTTTGTGCGGCTGTCCCTCCTCAATTCCAGAAGCCCCAGGCGTTTGCATATGCAAAATAAGACTTCTTTCTTTACCTTTTGCCAAAGACATTTGTCTCAGACAATTGAATCGGGCTCTTTGATGACAGGAGATGTTCAGAAACTGGGCATCAATAATAGACGCATAGCGCACATGTCCTTTGTAAAGACGTTCCCACTCGGACTCGATTTCGGATTCTGCTGACAGAATTTATGACAGCTCCACTCCTCTTTGGTGCCGCAGGACTCACGTGAAACCCTCCTTGGACAATGCTTAAGCATTGCGGAATATGCGACAGCATAAAAATTGAGGATTTTTATTTTCATTACGCTTTTTATGATTTACATTTTTATTTGCCGCTCGCTTTGTCCTGCAAAATGTTTTCGGCACTTTTTTGATGTTATTTACTTATCATCTTTTTTGTGACCCTCCTTTTTTACTCGCTTTTCTGCTCTGCAAATAGTGTGGAAGCACTTAATTGTTTTAATTGTTTAAATTTGTTAATTTTTTCTCCCTTTTTGTTTGGAATTACTTCCATTAACAGAATTTACTTTGGCTTACTAGGTTTTTGCTTGGGCGCTTTAATTTGTTTAGTTACAGTAAACTTAACATATTTCGCTGCGCATATTAGATATTTAAATATTTCCCTATGTTTTTGAATTCTGAATGCAATCAATCAGTGCCAATTTATCTGACACCAAAGTAATTTCAATGCATTTCAATTAAAAGTTCAGTCCTAACCCCAATACTCCCCGTTGAAATCAAGTAGTTTTCAAAGACTACTCCTAGCGTCAGTATGCCAATTAGAGATACGGAGTAAATTTAACAGGCTACCGGTTTCTGTAACACCGAGATTTGGTTTTGGGAAGAAATTTGGTTGGATGAGAATTCCTTAACACGCCTGATAATAAATATTAACTGCAAAATATGTATTTAAACACAGGGCAATGCATAGAAACCAGTGATTGTAATTACATTTGTAATATTGTGCAGTAATAAGTTCCCTTTTAAAAGCTAGTTACTAGTGCTACACACAAAAAAAAAACTTGGTAAAATCAACTGTAATAATTGTCAAACAGGCCCCAACCAGTGAAATTGTCAATTCTACTAAGTAAATAGTCATTTCACAACAACAAAATACACACAATTAGCAAAGACACAAACCCAAAGCAAAAACAAAATACACGTAACAATTTTAATAGTTACGTAACTATCTTTGTTGGTCAATTTTACCAATAAAATTTTTTTGTGTGTACCCATTCCCTTCCAAAGAAAGCACACCTTTAAAATTCATGTATAAGTTATCAAGTTCTTTTATAATTCCGTATTTCTACTTTCTGACCTCCGGAAAAGGCCTCGTAATCCTGCATCCAATTCCAACATCGTTCTGTTATCACCCATAACTCCGCGTTGTCACTCGACTATCACGGTGTACAAAAGCGCGTCTGCTCAACCAGACAAGTACTATTGTTCTAAAATTTTTAAGGACCGAGTTCATTATACAAACCAGTGGCGGATCTAGGATTTTGTTGTGGGGGGTGATATCAGAACAAATTTTTTGTTGCATACTTTTCGAATACCAAAATTTCTTTCAATTTTCAGCCGAGTGGGGGGTGATATATAACCCCATATCACCCCCGTGGATCCGCGCATGATACAAACATATCTTGATCTAAAAGTTAAACTTGAGAACAAAATATTTTTTTTATTGCATGCACCGGGTGCATTGCACCCAGAGAAGAAGATATACGGGAGTAAGTACTTTTAGGAATGAGTTTATTTTACTTGACCTCGATGGATCGAACTTAAAGGTACATATTTTTGCGTTTTCGTTTTCGGGGAAGAGTCACTGCTTGTCTAAGTCGGGGGGTTGCGGAGGGTCTACATAAGTCCGTGTTTGGTGGCCTCGGCCTTGAAGCAAGCGCCGTAGGTTTCGGCGGCCTCACAGTGGTCATTCGGCACACTGATGGCGGCACAAGTGTCGCCAATCTCCAGGGCCAGCTTTAGCTTGGCCGGATCGTTGCCCGTGTACTGCTTGGCCTTCTCGTGACCGGCCTCCGTATCCAGTTTGCCGTTGGCGTCAATCAGCCCAAAGCTCTTCATGACGCAGGCTCGCAGGCACTTGCCGGCATAAGTGGAGGCGGGCTGCTTTTTGACCAGGTCCTGTAGGTCGGCATCCACGGCACCGACCTCCTTCATACAGCCCTCTGCCGCCTCCATCATCTTGGCCATGGCTTCCTTCTCGTCAAAGCCGCGCACCAGGGTGGCGCCCAGGAAGAATACTGCCACAAGAACGATTTGGGAGCAATGCATGATGTTCGACTGATGTGTCCGGACTGAAGTTGTCTCTGCAGATGGCACTCTCGCTTTTATAGCTGAATCAGAGACTCGCTCGGCTGTGAAATAATATGGTTCATTGTTTAACTAACTTGCAATGTCCGGCTAATTAGCCGAAACGCGATCGTTATTGTGTTTTTCCATTTAATGGAAGTGCTAACAAAATCGAGTCGGTCGACAAGCCCAGGCCAATAACTGCCGACCGCCCCCATAAGACACGCACGTCCGCAGAAAAGTCTAGGTAAATTGAAAAGTGTCCCAACGTCATCCCACAATGATTCGCAAACGAAATAATTGGGTCGAAATTGGCAGCTAGCCCGAATAACTTGAAAAATATATTTCTGTTGAATATAAAAACATATTTCGGTTAACGATTTATATAAAGGGGTTCATCGAGTACCCACTAAGAATTCCTTTTTATTTATTTTGTATATTTTTAAGAATACTTAAAATAATAATGATCGGACTATTGGAACCGAAGATACAGCCCTTTATATCTAGATACAGTTGCGAAAAAAATAATAGCACCACTTCGTCACAGGTTCTTAATATTAAACAAATATGTGGAAAACGGGTATTTTTATATAAGAAGTGTTTTTTATTATCTTGATTAGTATTCCACCTATTTGAAAAAATTGATACGGATATCGAAAATGTTGTCTACACATAATTTTTTCAGATTTTAAGAAAAAAAGTCAAAAAAAGGCCGAAAAAAATAAAAGCACCACTTCCGTTTTCTTTAAATAAAACGGTACGATGCGCTAATATTCTTGTGTATAAAGGATATATTTTATGAGATTTGACTAAAACTAACTTTTCCTGATATCCAGACATCAAATATTCAAATTATGTTTAGTCTTACTATTTAAAACCCGTTTTGAAAAGTTAAAAAATGTGAGTAGGGTGACTAGTTAAAATTTTTTTGTGTCAGTGGTGCTATTATTTTTTTCGCAGCTGTACCTCTGGGTACCGAAGAAAAAAACTTTAAACTTTAAAGTTTATACCCACTTATATAGGAAAAGTGTTTTCCATAATTAGGCTTTACTTTTAAGTATCTATGATTTTGCTGAAAGTGTGAACAAAATAACAAATAGCCTCTCAAATAGCCAATGTGGCTTTGAAACAGGAAGAACAAAACGGTATAAAAATTTATATTTAAGTTCAAAAAGCCAAAGATAATATTGTGATTTTTTTTTAAAACAACATGTACAAAAAAATAGTTTTAGCACAAAAATTTATACTTTATTCGGGTTTGATGTAAAGTGTCCAATTCTTACCATGCCTCCGAGTATCTTATGGTCAGACACTCGACCTATTGTCCTTTTTTGAAACCCTTGTACTCTAAATTTAGTCAATAAAAATGCTGTAGTGTGATAACATAGCTCATTTTATTAAATTGTATTTTTTTAACTTCGCATGCCGTAATATTTATGCTTTCTATCTCACACACTAACAATAAATATATATTTTTATTTATATGATTCTTTTTAGAAATTTATGTAGGTTGTTATCTTAATACAGGTTGTCACGTGTTTGTTGTGGTGTTTTCTCGTATTGCACTAACTGGCTAGGTATTGTTTATATAACACTTCTCTTTCTGATTTGAAATATAACACATTTGAAAACTTTGAGCTGTATAATCCATTGAAACGTTTGTAGAGGATATAAAGTTACATGTTCTCTGTCTTTGGTGCTTCTTAAGTCTTTGGATAGAGTTGAAATGATTATAACAGGCTAGAGAAAATGGAATTGCATTTGTTGTTCCTACCACAACATTAATTTACATATTAACAGCCACCCGTACATATGTAATATTTGTAAATTATTATCAATGCAACATGTAGATTCTCTACAAAATACGGAATGTTTTTCTACCATGGCTACCGATATATTTATCTAATTTATTTGTCTTATTATTATAGATTTTCATTGTTATTTGACCTTTGTATTTACAATAATTTAGTATTTAGTGGTTGTTTTTGTGATAAATGGAAGGAATTGAATAGTTTAAAGCTCGGAAAAGAAGTTTTACGTTGGGAAAGTTTTTCAGAAACATTATAGCACACTTTTTAAACACTTACTTTTCAATATTTTATTTTGCAAGGCGCATTTAATTTTTTTTGCAATTTATAATATTGCTTTTAGAAATCGTCACCCTTTTATTACATTTTTAGCATTGCTTATATTATTTTGCTCATTTTAAAGTAATCTTGAGAAAATCTACTTGCTTTTAGTTTAGTGTGAGGTTGTATTGTTGTGTGCTAAAAAGTGTTTTGTTCCCGCAAAAGGTGCGGGGATATCCTTTGTGATGTGTTTGGTTGTATTTTCTAGTAAAGTGTTCGAGTTAACTATTTAATTGATATAACTGGCGGTGCTTAGTTTGATTATTATTGATTTAGCGGTTGTGAACTGACGGCTTTCTGCACAGCAATACGGGAAACATCAAGCTTTGAAGAGACATCCGAGTTTTGTGCGCTGCCCACTTTTGTTGGCTGCTCATAGATGTTTCGAAAGTCTACACTAAATAGTCAATATTTATAGAATTTTACGTCAGGGCTACATTACTATAAATTGTCAATGCTTGGGATGCATAAGCAACATTTATTATGGTTAAACTCGGTGTTTAATAAATAGTAATAAATAAGTATATAAATTATATTGCAACTTGGATTGTGTACATAAAAAATTCGAATTAAACTATTTAATATAAAGTATAAAATCATATAACAGCCTTTGGTTAAAGTTAGATTAACTTGATTTGGATAAAATAATTGAATCGAAAAAAATAAATAAAAGCTTTACACCTAACTACCTTTAACGGTTACAAATAAACACAGTAATATAGTTTGAGTTCGATTGGATGCCGATGTACGCATAAATCTCATTTTTCTAATTATCCAACGAATTGGTTCGCAGCTGACTGTAGCACGCCTGGCACACCCTAACTGGCTTCAGGATTCGAAGACGCGATATTTCCGACTCGAAGCGACTGCACTTGTTGCAGAAAACTTGACCGCAATTGCGACAATGGTGCTTTCTCTCATAAAGTGTAAATCTGAAATGAATTGATAATAAGATTAATAAAGTAGTCTTTATTATAATAATGCTAATTATATTAATATTACAAAATTACATTTATTTTGCAGGAAAAAATATATTTGTTCTTTAATATTTTACTTCAGATGTGTTAAAAAGATCTTAGGTTTTTCAATTTGAGGCACACAATAACAACAAGAAAGAAAGAAAAGCTATATTCCATAGATGAAATCCAGAATTATTTAAAAATTATATTCCCAAGAGTAGAAGGTAACATTTCAAAAACTATACTATACGAAACTATATTTTTTTCTGTTCATTTTAAATGACACCGCCTCTACTGGCGTTTCTGACTTCATTTGGTGACTTGTGGTCTTTAGAGGGTGTTGTAGAAATCACATATTTTTGACAACTTACTTGACGTGGCATTTGACACACTGATCAGCTCCCTCATCTTTTAGCCAATGATCAGCAACTCCGCGACCTGGCTGTTCAGTCACGCTCCACGAAAAGATACGACCTCGTGCATCGCCTTTAATTTATGGCAAATGTAATATATGCATTAGATGTTTTATTTACTGAATCTTTGTAAAGTAATACTTACCGACATATAAAATTTTATGATCTTTGGATACCGTTAACGCAGTAATACTTGCTGGTTCAGCATTATCCTTCCGATCATATGCCGTATGCATGGTCAGCTTAGAGCGGAACATTAATTGACGTTGCCATTTGAAGCCTAAGTAAGAGGAAATTTATTAATTATTTTTCAGTTAACAGTGTTTGGATATACATATATTAATATTCGAACAAAAACATTAATACAAAAACATTTAATATTAATAGGTACTTAACTTAACATAGGATTGATAATTATAAAATGTTGCAACAGCGCCGGTGAAGTGATTAAAAAATTGTAAACTTGCCTTTTCTTAAAATCTGATCGCCTTTATGCCTGTCGTTGTCTATTAAGACGAAGCCATCAGTCAGGCTCGTATCTGATTTGCTCGGCCTTATAGAGTATTCATCTAGAAAATCGTTAGAAAGATTAGTTAACGCATAGAAACATTTTGACATCCTTACCCTCATTGGACTTGGGATCACAGCTGCTGCTCTGCGCTTCCGCAGTGGCTGATTTCATTTCGTGCAGGGACTTTGCTCCTGAAATTGAGCTTTTCCTGGGCTCACCTTGCTGTTCTTGCTTGCCAGCAGTGTTACCCGACTTACTCGATTCCAGGCTATGCTGTGAGGCCTCAGAAATGCTGCTTTCCGAGGCAGATTTGACAATTTCTGCGGACAAAGGAATACAATCAAGTCAATGAAATAACTAACTTCGGCCTGCCAAAGATTATATAACAGTAGGAATATTTTGCAAAGGCGGGAATTCTAATTAAAATAAGTTATAAACTAACCCAGCTCTTCTTCCGACTGTGAAAGGCTTTTGATTGGCTTAATGAGGCTCATTTTGTCGTCCTTCGAGTCTTTGCCTTCCAAAGAGACGCTGTCGGGTTTGTCCTGCGAGGAGACCTCCATGCCTCTCTTCAGCTTGCGATCGATGGGCACCTGTGTGTGCTCCAGTGACCACATCTGTGTGGAAACATAACTTGAATTATTTAATTTATTTATAAATATCAGCATACTCACCCTTACGACACCGTCCGTTGAGCCAGTTATGACCACATTCTGCTGGTCCCACTCGCGAATCTGCGAGAACGCCACACACAAGATCTGCTGCATGCGATCCGCACTGCCCACACAAGTGTTGACCATGGCCAGGGCATCGCCATTAATGGACCACACATGGAGCCAAGTGGCCGAGCAGGTGGCAATATCCCCGGTTAGCTCATTGATGGCCACGGCAGCCACCACACCGGCGTGTCCTCGCAGCTGGCGCACGAAAGTGAAGCGAGTCATATCCCAGACTATGGCCGTGCCGTCCCGTGATCCGGACACGATGACATTGTAGGCAGCACTGGCCGCCAGGCAGGTAACAGCATCGGTGTGGCCGTGCAATGAGTGCTTGACGGCAAGGCTCTTTCGATTCGCGTCGAACTTCCAGACAGTCACCACTGAACTGGTGCCAGCGGTGACAATCATTTTGGCATTGGGACAAGCACAAGCGAGGATCTCCCCGGAGTTCTGGGCCGATGCCTCGGACACAAAGGATGCCCGATCGGTGTCGTAGAGACCCACGCGCAGGGAATGGTCTGCAAAGCCCCAGGCTATGTACTTCGTGTACGAGGGCGGCATCATCACCTTGTTCTGCTCCACGGCAAACACAGTCTTGTCTGGCTGTAAGATTTGACCGACTGGTCCTTTCAGCTCCTTGATCGGCTGCAGACTGGGTTTGAGATTGTCCAAGTTGTGGAAAAACAGCCGGTCGGTCTGTAGCACTGTGCTATTTCCCTGAATCAGTGAAGTTGGGTCGATTAGTGCCGAATGACGAGAGCCGCCCATCTTCTTAGCGGGATGCGCCTTTTTGAACAGCTGCTTTGGAATCTGACCAAAGTTGTTGATGAAGCCAATGGTGGCATTCTTTTTGAGTGGATCATCAATGCTAATGTGGAGTAAATAGATTAATTGAATAACATAATAATTAAATAAATATTTTTTTATGTACTTGTATATATCCACATTTCCCTCGTAGAAGAGATGGTGAAACACGTTGACGGCATCAACGGCAGATGGTCCCTGTTGCTTGCATCCAAAGATTAGGTCAATCCACTGCAAGTATTAATGTTAAAGATGTCACCAAAATTAATTGGAATTAACTGCACTCACCAAATGTAAATTCTGGCTGACATAGTCACACTCCAGAGCGCTCCTGTGAAGTCGGATGAACTCCCTGGGATCGTGCTTTGCCCACGGCGGCAGGATGACGTGGTTGAGCGTCTCACCATTCTGCTTGGTTCCCAGATCGAAGCTGTTGAAGTTGCTGAGGAACTCGGGCAGGTAGAAGAACTCTGGGATGAGTTCCTTGACGTCGGCCATGTTCAACTTGGAGGCCGATAGCCAGGCCTCCTTGATGCTGTGAAACATGCGGTCCGCCAGGTCAAAGTGACCGCCCTGCAGCTTGAGGAATGGCTGCGAGAAGGGCTCCAGCCGGACCAGATACGAGCACACGATCATCGCGGAACTGTAATGGGTGCCATAGTGGTAGGGAGGCGTCTCGCCATGCGGATCGTCCCACTCCTTGAAGCGCTTCTGGAACTGCTCCAGTCGTTCCTCCGCCTGAGCGCCCATGGGTCGCGAAAAGTCTCGGAAGGTCTTTGGGTTGGTCAGATCCAACTCCTCGGAGTCGTAGTCGGCCAGGATCCAGGGAAAGACGGGGTACTGCATCAGGTCGTTGTAGCTGCGCCCGGCCAGCGTGTTCAGGTGCATAAGGTACTGGAAGTTGGAGATCTCGCCACGCACCCAGCGCTGCGTCACCGACGTCTCGCCGATCAGGCCGCTAAAGATACCCGCCGTTTGCTCCACGCTGGCCGTTCGCTTCTGCCCAGCCACCGATTGCTGTGCGTTGTCGTTCAGTGCAGTGGCCAGAGCCAGAAACCTTTGATTCACCTTATTCCGCACCTTGCGTGGGAAGCTCAGCAGATAGTTGCGTCCATCCTCGGAGAAAACTTCCAAGGCGATGGGCTGCAGCAAGTAGCGACGCTTGTGCACCTCGCGGATTTCCTCGTACGCAAACTTGGAGCACTGCCTAAGCTTTTGGCTTACGGCGCGCGAAGTCGTGGAAGAGGTTCCGCCGGAGTTGGGAATGATCGGCTCATAGGCTCCTGGCGGCAGGGTGTCAATGTCACGAATCTCGCGGTTCTTCAGCAGCGTAAACCCATCCACAATGTAGCAATGCTCCTTGCCAAACAATAAGAGGCCTTCAAATGTGTCCAGTCCCTGAACCCTGGCACATCGGAACATAAAGCTGATCTTCTCCTGCTCCTCTAGGAGCCGCAAGAAGGTCTCATTATCGCTGGTCATCGAGGTGTCCTCCTCCTCCTCATCATCCTCTGGCGCATTGCCATCCATTGACTCCTGCGGACAGGGAGCTGTCCCATGACCCACAAGCTTGGGTAAAACAAGAGGCGGCGGTGTCGATGTGGAACTGCTTGACTCCAAACGATGAACATGCACCGCTTCCAGCGAACTCTGCTGTTGCATGGCATGGTGCTCCGCTGCCTCGGCCAGGATGCGAGGCTGCTGCGGTCCGTGGAGCGCGTACGTCTTGCTGTCCAGACTGGAGGCCACCTTGTACTTCAGCTGCCGGTTGTCGGCCAACTCCAATTCCGGTCGGTATGGATAGTGCAGGTAAAAGACATCGTTGCGCATCGTCTTCTTGCGCATTCGGTGGGGACCCTCGGTGGTGTCCAGGATCCACTTATCCAGCGAACAGCTGCCGGTGGGACCCCACAGCCCTCGCTCGCGGGTAAGCTCCATCTCGGACTGCACCCAATCCTGGTAGACGTAGCGCTGAGTGTGCTGCAGCATCTGCTGGTATTGCTTGGCCCGCAAATCCAGAAGATCCTTTATGAGCTGCACATGGATGCCCGTAGACTCGTAGGCGGCCTCGCGAGTTAGCGTCGACCTGGTTCGCACCAGCTCCTCTTTCTTGGCCTTCGTTCGGCTGGTCAGGCGCGACAGTCCACCGGTGACTTTCTGTATCTTTGACTGAATCTGGGTGTGCAGTTCCCAGGGCGCGCGATACGTGGCCTTGCGCTCCGCCTCCACGTAGTTAAACCATAGCTTAGAGGCCAGCTCCATTACCTGCTCCCGCGTGGTCTGCAAATCGGGTGCCTTGGAGTTGGACGGTGGGGATGTGAGGGAGACCTTGAACACCTCTTCAATGGCGGGCTTCTTGCAGACGTACAGCTCCTCCCAGACGCGAAAGGCAGCGCCGACGACCAGATTGCGACCCTGCAGCTGGTTGAGATCCTCGTCCTTGGGCTCTGCCGTCTCCGTCTGCGGATTAACGTGCCAGGTGGTATTTCGACTGGTGGCAGGCTCCAGAATAATCTTCATGTCGGCAGTCAATTGCAGCAGGCAGTAGGTGAGGCAGCCAATGAACTCCAGCTCATGGTTGCCCGCTCCGAAAATTAGCAGGCGGTGCTGTATGATCTTGTGCAGTGCCTCCAGCACACTCATCTGCTCGGCCCGCGAATCGTCGGTGGGGCGGGAGAGCAGGAAGAGGATGCTGCGATTCAGTGAGTGGTGCAGGTGCTCCAGCGACAGCGACGAGGATCGCCGCTTGGCCTGTACAATCAGCTTGATGACAAAGTCGAAGATGTCGTGCGGATTGCGGGCGAGGCAGCCCTGCCAAAGTTTGTCCACGATGCGGGCGGTCAAGTAAAAGACGTTCGGTGCGATGTGCTGCATTTGGCTTTGCAAAAGAGGCACCAGTGGTAAAGCCGCCTGTTCGCCTACGAGGACATCTGCTGCAAGTAGATGATCCATCAGTGCGATGATGATCTGCGTCTGGTACTGAACCTGCAGCGGTAGCTCTGCCGAATCTGGAGCTGCGTCTAAAACAAGATCTATTACTGGTGTCAGCTTTCCCTGCATGTTTAGACCGAGCGAATCTACGACAATAACGCGCAGAAAGTCTATGATGCACTTGCACACCGGGTGAGCGGTTAACTTGGGCTGCGGTGCTCCATGAAGGCTTTCCGGTGGAGGCAAAGCAAAGCTGCTTCCTGTGTCGTCTGTAGGCGTGGATGCTCCACTATTCGGCTCAGATTCTGCCGCACGAGAAGTCAGGGGAAAGAGCACGGCCACCAGTGAGGTGACCACATCGCCGGCCATCATCACGGGCGCAAAGTCGCTGAGGTTTTGGTACAGACTGAACAGGAGCTGTATGATGGTCTCCGGATGACTGTGTAGCCAGGGGGCGCACTCGCCCCCGTGAACGATTCCACGCACCATAGTCAGCAGAACGCAGACTCCCTCGGGGCAAACATTCAGCTTGGGCAGCTGCGTGTTGGCCGATACGGGAGCGCCCCAGAGAAACGACCAGACGCGGTCAAGATCGAACTTGGTATGCTCGGTGGCCAGCACTTTTACAGGCTGTCCCATTATCAGAGCGGTAATTAAGAAGTACAGCTCCGGTACGTCGAGGTGATGATTCATTAGCCATTCAAGCAGCTGGAAACCTAGAATAATAATGGGGTTAGTAAATTTAAAGGTAATCCTTCAATTTTTGTTTTATCATAGTATGTCATGAAATTTCTGATTTGTTTAATTCAATTCTATTTGAAATAAATTGAATGTTTTTCTAATTCATTTCGAATGGATTTTTTTTTGTGCTTTCTTTTGAGAACAAGAAGTGGAAAATTTTTAACAAGTCAATGTTAACTGCATAGTGAATAAAATTCAAGCAGATTTAATCACAAAATTATGAACCCTTTCTTCTTCAAAAGAAATTGTCGTTTGAATTATTTCGGAATTCATGTCATTCATTCCTTCAATTCTATTAAACTCAAAATCAGGGAACGTAACTGTTATAAGTTTTATTTTAAAAATCACACTTTAACAGTTATTTTCTGATTTGTAAAGTAAAACTCAAAGAATAACTGTTATTTTTTGAGTTTTATAATAAAAGTTGACAAATAACAGTTATTCGTCGTGATCAAAATAAAACTCAAACTTGATTTATGGCGATTTTGTGGGTAAACAAAATTTTACAAAAATATAGGTGTAAAATATGCGCGGTTGCCTTTTTTAACAAATTTTTAGTAAGTTATAAAAAGCACGGGTATTATGTTTTTTTTAATTATTTCATTTTTTCAAAAATGTCAAGGGAATAACTGTTATTCATAAAAATCAAAAAATAACAGTTATTTTTTGAGTTTTATTATAAAAATCAAAAAATAAAAATCATTACGGATTTGTAAACTACAATGGCTAATAAAAACTGTGGTGTATTTAAAAAATTTTTAGGACCCTTCTAAGTGCGTGATTTTTTTGTATGAAAAATTTACAATAACAGTTATTTTCGTTCCCTGCTCAAAATTCAAATTCATTCAATTCTATTAAACTCAAAATTCAAAATAATTCATTAAACCCATTCATGCAGGGCTCTGAATATAACAATTTTTTATATAGATGCTCACCTGGTATATTCAATGCCGCTGCGCGTACCTCGCCTGCGATTTGCGTGGGCAGATGTTGTATGGTGTTTTGTGGAGTAGCCACAATGACAGTGCCCGTGCCGTTCGTGGGACGCTGGTTAAGCTGTTGGGCTCCGAGGCCCAGCATCTTCCGCTGTGATACCATCTCCGTGAAGCGAAGATAGCCGCCGTTGTGGGTTGCATCTCGAAAGCGTACGAGGAAGCTTTCATTGGCACAGACCACGACCAGCACGCGCACCGCAATAATGACAGTGGTAAAGTGGACATGTGGTTGCATAAAGAGCAAAAGCCAATCCATGCCCAGAGTCTTGGAAATGTCGTCGCAGATAACATAGTTCACTGTATTGCGGGGCGTGAATAGAAGTCCGTGAAGCAGCGAGAGGCATCGATTGCGCAGATAGATGTTCTGGGCCACACCGCCATCCTGATCTTCGCCAGGATTCTTCATGCTGGGTAGGAGAACGGCCCGTTCCAAGCCTCCATTATGGGCCAGCGGTAGCTTAGCCGCCACATACTGACCAAAAAGCAACAGATCCGTGTGCCTTGGCTGACCGCCCAGCAGAGTCTCCAGCAGACTGAAGAGAATCTCTCGTGTCGAGTGATCCTGGATCTGGGTGATGATGTGCAACAACTTGACCAGAAGCTGCAGGTCTCGCATGATTTTCACATTCTGCTTCTTGTCGCTCGACTCCACCACCAATTCCAGCAAATGCTCTAGCAGGGAACGCAAAAGTCCATTGGGTGCATTGTGCCAGATCTCTAGGTCGCACAAAAGGTCTTGGAATGCCGTCACATTCGGAATGGAGGACATGTCCTGGCCGCTGTTCACCGTGCCCACCAGACCAAAGGTCAGATGGAGTATGTGTGAGTTTAGCAGGTGTTTTTTCTTCTTGAAGAACATGCCCAGCGTCTGGTAGCAGCGTTTCCTATCCATCTCCGCCTGGGCAGCACGATTACTCCGTACCACGCAGGTCAAGGCCTTGACTCCCGCATACAAAGACTCCACGTCTTGAGCCATGGCGATTATGCCGAGCAGTACGTTGCAGCCGCCCACAGTATCGATCATGGCTGAAACGGGATGTGGGCTAAACACTCGTACTCCCAAATAACCAACGACCACGCCGCCCAGGGAGCGACCAGCGCCCGCGAGATGTCCAGCCGAGTTGTGCAGAATTCTGGAAGAGCATATTGATTATTTTACAGGGTTCACTCATTTAAATATCCCTCAAAAACAAGCCGACTGTGATGAAAGTAAATATATATCAATCACGATACAAACAAATTGTCATCTTTGCTCATTCAAATACATATCGCTCACTGATCGTAAAATATTCATCATGAGTGAGGAAAATAAAATGACGAAAAAGTGATGGAAAAAAATATCCCTCACGAGTGATAAAATGATCATTAGCAAAGACAAATAGCACCGATAACTCAAAAGCGTGCTCAATTTACAATGGGCAGATGATGTAAAAGATGTAACCTGCGTTTAAAAACATATAAATTGCTTATTAAAGTCTAGATAATACAAAGAAAAACTTTTGTAAAACTTGGTGTTAGTAGACTATTTTTGTTTTTATTTTCCTCATTTTTTCCTCACAAAATGTCAAAAATGAGGAAAATGTTTCGAGAAAAAAGCAATATAGAGCAGTTGAAATTTTATCAGAAAAATATGCATCATCCCTGCTTGGTTACTCCTCATTTTTTTGTGACAAATATCACCGCCCTATGTTGATATTATTATATTTAAACAAAATGACATATTGTGAGGGATATTTTACGAAACCTGTTATTTTAAAACTGCTTAACAAAATATTTGATCAACACTTACTTAATGGGCGTCGCATTCTCGTGAGAATTCATATTTAACTGCTTGGCAATGCTCTTGTTGTCCGCCCGGCTGTAAACTTTACGAATCTTGACCAGGGTCAGCTTGGACACCGCTTTGGCGTTAAGTCCCAGGAGCACGCGATCCTCGGGCACCAGCGGCGCCAACGACTCACACTGCTTGCCCAGCTGAGGAGCTTGCAGCGAGCCCATGTAGTGAGGTCCCAGTTGATAGATGGTCTGAACCGTCTGCTGCGTGAGCACATCTTCGATCAAATGACAGACGCCTTGCTTCCAACAGAGACGAGAGTATCGTCGCCATATTGGCGGCGTACCAATATATCCAAAAATCTGCGTGGCCGACGTGAGACTGGCGTTGCCTGCTGCCGGATGCTGAGCTATGTAGTGCAGCTTTTGGGTGTGCATTGGCACTCCGTCCAGGTAAAGGAACAAGCTGGAATTCTTCAGAACAGCTCGATTGAGCACGACGACCAGGTTGTGCCACTGGCCCTCATGCAGGAGATCGGGACACCATATGCGAGCAATGCCGTCATCAGATCCCTCGGGCTCCCAGTCACCAATACCTGGAAAATCAATGCATTAGACTTATGTGACACAACTGATGAAGACAAGTTGAATAAATGGATGATGGGATTCAATGAATTATCTTAATTTTCTCGTTTTATTTGAATGAATTAGGTAGCATTTTGAGATTAATAGAATTGAATGAATGAATGGCATGAATTCCGAAATAATGCAAACGACAATTTCTTTTAAAGAAGAAAGGGCCATAATTTTGTGATTAAATGTGCATGAATTTTATTTTATAAACAGTTAACATTGATTTGTTTTAATTTTCCACTTTTTGTTCTCAAAAGAAAGCACAAAAAAATCTGGCAAATTAAAAAAATTCATAAAAATTATTTATTTATTCATTCAATTCGAAATGAATAAGAATTCAATTTATTTCAATAAAACGAAAATTGAATGATTCACGCAGGGCTCTAAAGTCAACTTACTTTTCCTGGGCGTCACCAAAGTCTCCTGGGTGGAGACGACTATCGCCTTATCGCGAGCCGAGAGTAAAATAGATAGGCATGCCAGGTTTTCCTCACGTGGATTGTGGATAGTCCTCACCAACGTAAGAAGCCGGACGCAGTGTGGATCCGTCTTGGGGTCGGAGAACTTTTCCACACAAAACCAGGTGGAGTATGTAAGCCCCGTCTGCGGCGGAAAGATGCGATCGCCGGCTCCGATGCCGCCAATGGTGTTCGCATCAATGGTTCCGCCGGCAGTGGCCGTCGCCTGAGGCGCCAGTGAGGGGAGGTACAGGCAACCGAAACCCTCAGCCGACATGTCCAGCTCGACGAAGGGAGGCAGCGTGCTCGATCCGTGGGCACGGAAATCACGCGGAGTTGTCATCGACACCAGAGTCTTGATTCGAGTCAAAGGAACTGGTCCGCCTAGCCGGTAAGGCTGCTGAAGATCTATGTCCGCACAGGAAAGTGGCTCGCCCAAGCGCAGGAACTGGCGCAGCTCGGTGGGCTGCAGCGCTTGGGCGGCAAGACGCTCCAAAATGTACTGCATGGGCACGTGCAAAGGATGTGATTCCTCTGCCAGCGCTTTGCGGGTCAACTGAAGCAGCTTTTCCGCCAGTCCATGGTCGCACATAATCTGCTGGTTGCGTTCGCTGCGCACCAAGGACTTGATGATTTCGCTGAGATATACCTGCAGCTGCACTGCCTTCAGAGGATCTGAATCGTTCTCCACGGCGGGTAGTAGCTGAAGCATACAGAGCACCACACCTGGGTGTACTATCCGCGGCTCGGGACTGGGTTGCGTGAGATTCAGCTGGCTGGGATGCACCGGCGCCGCCAGCTCCTTGCTCGGTGATCGCGTAAGCGCTGGAGGATCGCTGACGAGTGTGATGATGCCATTTAGATTTGGCGCCTCAAAGTTGTCCAGCGCAATACTGTAGAGTAGGCGAAATACGACGCATACGTAGGACAACGGGTACGGAACGTCTTCAGAGAAGCTGGGGAATACAAAAATTATAATTTTATAAATTAAGTTTGGCTACGTTAACTTAATTATTGTTTATTTAGTTACAGCTAGAGCCCTGCGTGAATCATTCCATTTTTGTTTTATCATAGTATGCTATGAAATTTCTAATTTGTTTAATTCAATTCTATGCAGGGATCGCAAGTAAGAATTACTTTTTTAAAAAAATTGACAAATAAGTCTTATTTTTCAATTTTTATTATAAAAGTTGACAAATAACTCTTATGCTTCAATTTTTATTATAAAAATCAACAAATATTTGTCAACTTTTATAATAAAAATTGAATTGAAATAACTCTTGAACTGTGGGGTACATTGGTTTAAAATTTATATATGTATAATCTACGCTTTAATACCTTTCTGTTGATATGCCATATGTCCCCAAAATATTTTTGATGATGTAAAAAATATTATTGTTATAAAAAATATGTTGGGGACATATGGCATATCAACAGAAAGGTATTAAAGCGTAGATTATACGTATATAAATTTTAAACCAATGTACCCCACAGTTCAAGAGTTATTTCAATTCAATCTTTATTTTATTATAAATTATTATTATGCTTCAATTTTTATTATAAAAATCAACAAAATTGAAGCATAAGAGTTATTTGTCAACTTTTATAATAAAAATTGAAAAATAAGACTTATTTATCAATTTTTTAAAAAAAGTAATTCTTACGTGCGATCCCTGATTCTATGTGAAACTAATTGAATGTTTTTCTAATTCATTTTAAATTGAAAGAATAATTTTTTTTGAGAACAAAAAGTGGACAATTTTTAACAAATCGATGTTAACTGCTTAGAAAATAAAATTCATGCAGATTTAATCACAAAATTATGGCCCTTTCTTCTTCATGCCATTCAATCATTCAATTCTATTAAACTCAAAATTCCAATTCATTCAATTTTATTAAACTCAAAATTCTAATTAATTCATTCATATAAAACAAAAAATTCAAAATAATTCATTGAATCCATTCATGCAGGGCTCTGTAACTCACAGCACTAATTTTGTTATTTTTTATAGGTTCGTAAAACAATATCTTCGCTCTTTTGAGAGACTCTTTTACCTGACGGCTAGAATGTCCCCGCTGAAAATCTCATGGTAATACTTCAGCAACGACTGCTGCGGCTCATAGACGCCGGTGAAGTCCTGCAAGGCGGACGATGCCCCAAAACATCCCAGCAGTCGCAGGGTGTCGCACAAGGAGCTGCTGCTGATCTCCTGGTAGAAGAACTTTGCGTTGGCCGGCTCAAATCTCATGGCGGTGGCCAGAGTCTGGAAGACTATCTGCAGCAGCAGAATGAGATCCTGTTGAGGAATGTCCGGTTGCGGCCGTGCCATGCTGCCGTCCAGAGATACGAATACGCTCGTTACGTATACGAATCCACCCACTTTTCGGAATACGGTTCGTGTGCGGTGGGAGTCTTTCAGGCAACCGAGCAACATGTTTAGTATCTGGATCTTGAATTCCACCTGCAACGGGCTGACGCTGTGCATAAGTGAGAGTATGTGCAGCATGTCGTCGTCTCCGCCTGCAGACAGAATTAACTCTCGCACGATTCCCAGAGCCTGCGGCCTACAGTGCTTGAACTTCACCAGCTCGTGGACGCACTTGGCGCCGCCGTATTCACGAAATAGCTGGGCATTGTTGCTGGCTCCTCCGCCCAGCAGCATGGTCAGCGCCTCCAGGACATGTTTGCCCATTGTGTCCAGCATGTCCTCCTCCGCGTCACCTTCCAGCTCAACCACCACCGACTCATCCCCCTTCGTTATTTGCAGCACATGGGCGGCGTATCGTGAGAGGCATCCCACGAAGATCTCAAGAATGCCGACTTCACGGTAAACGTCCTTGAAAACCGTGTTGTGTCGCAGAATATTTAGCAGTGTCTTCAGACACAGAATGCTACATGGCGTCGATTGGTTGTGCTTCAGCAGAAGAGAAAGGCTGATCAGCTCCTTGCATGGAACAAAGTTCAGCTGGAAGACAATGAACTCCAGCAGGTCGTAGAACTTTTCCTGTATTTGCGGACTCTTCAGATGTATCCGCTCGGCGAACGTACTAAGTGTGTGCTCGGATTCCAGGATGAAGTAGTTGGCGTTCTCCGAGTGGTAAACCCGCGAAATGGCGTCCAGGATGGTGCAGCAGAGTGCAGGCGTCGTCGACTTGAGGAACACGTTCTGTAGCACCTGAAAGGCGTACACATTTCGCACACACGTCTCTCGCGAGGTGGCCTGTGGCAGCTGGAAGTTCTGCAGCTTAAAGGCCGTGTTGAACTGCGAGGCTGGCGGTCGCAGCTCGTAAAACCCACACATGCACAACGAAGAGATCATCAGTACAAGATTACGAATGGCCGCTTGAATCTCCAGCGATTGACTGCGATTGTTGTCAAACCTGCAAAGGGGTTATCAGTTAAGATATGCTATAGTTGTTGGCTCTTATTCCACTTACTTTAGCAGAAAATCGCTGAGAAACACGTAACCCTGGGATGCGCGAAAGTCATCCATTAAAATCTGCGATACCTGACTAGAGTCCTTGAGAAAGCAGAACACTGTGACGAACATTTCGACGATTTCCAGAGGATTTCCAAACGTCAGGCGTTGCATATTATCCACGCAAAGCGCCATGCAGCCCTTGGCTAAAAATATTAAAAGGTTAAAATCAATAGTTATTAAAATACTATATTTAAATAAAGTTAATAGAAAATTCCAAGAAATTCCAATACAGCCTTAATTCTAGACCATGATTACTTTAAATTTTGTACTTACAATGTATGTAGCTAACCACAGCATCGGTCAGGCCGTTTCTTGATATTGTGGTCAAGATTTCAGCTGCATTCTTACGCCACACGATATTGTGGATGGGGCACGGCGACGTGATGGCCGAGAACAGCAGCGTCAAGTCGTCCATGCGGGCAAGTTCCTCGGCGGGATAGGGGTACGAGCAGAGCTTCACCAGCAGCTGCACAAACACCTTCTGGAGGAGAGTTCGCCTTTCGTGGGCGTTAAATTCACTGACTGCCCCTCCGTCTGCTGTTGGCTCATCGTCCTCCACGATTGGCAGGTCGAAGAACAAATACAGGCACTTCACAAGAGTCGAGGGAACTGCGGCGGCAGTCATTACCTAGAATGGTAGTAAAAATGTAGTCCGTTTTAATTTATAATGGGAGCGGATTCCAAACTACTCTGATCTTATAGGTAAAAAATTAAAATATTGTAAACATATAAAAGGGCCTATAATAGAATCTTTAGGACCAATATTTTTTATACAAAAATTAAAATTTTAGAAACATATTAGGGCCTATAATGGAATCTTTAAGATCAGTATTTTCCATAATGTGCAACATTTTTTATCAAGCTTATCTTTGAGATCGTTTAAAGACTTTAAAAAGGTTTTTTGATAACATTTTCCTAGTCGCAACAAAATTTTGCAACATATAAAAGGGCTTATAATGGAATCTTTAAGATCAGTATTTTTTATAAAAAACTAAAATTTTAGGGCCTATAATGGAACATTTAAGATCAGTATTTTCCATAATGTGCAACATTTCTTATCAGTCTCAAAAATAACAGGTACGGTTAAAACTTTTTTTTTTAATTAAAAGGTTTGAAACATGTTTTTTATAACCTTTTCCTAGTCACAACACCTTTGAAAATATGCCAATACCTATTCCCAACTATTTAACTCTTCGATTGTAAAATGAACCAGGTTTGGGTGTTCTTCAAGCTCATAGAGGTGCTGCTGGGCAGTGTGTGCATGTTTTTTCACATGCGAGGATCATCGTACTGGCCCGAGCGTATTCCCCACGTGATCCTCTACTGCGCCACATTTTCCTCCTTCACGATGCTCGCCGCACTGGGTGCCTTCCGCCTGATGCTGGCCCGGAGTTCGGTGCTTTCCTCGCAGCTGATCCTCACACTGAGCGCAGTGATCGCTCACTACCTTTGCGGCGTGATGATAATGCGAACCGCCATGCAGGATCCTCACCTGTCTGCCATGAACTCGACCATCGAGTACCTGGAGCATCCGCACTTTGCGCACTGCAAACAGCAGAGCATCGCTGCGCTGATCACGGGAACCATGTACCTGATGCACATGTTCCATGTCTTCGACCTGCTGATGCGCATGGAGCCGGGCGAATGGAGGCTTCAGGCGACGGGACGCAGTTTCTTCGAGCGGACGGATGCAGGAGCTGCCGGGCTGTTTGTGCTCTCCAAGCCGGTGGACGATTTCTTGTGCCGCTGCTGCAGTTGCTACTTCAAGCTGGCCCACTCGCAGCCCCTGTACTTCCGGCCGAACGCGGAGGTAGAGCAGCCGCACATCGTGGCCAGAATGTGGCAGATCATGGGCGAGATGCGAAGGAAATTCTTTTCGCTGCATCAGGTCGAGAGCGAAGAGAGTTTCCTGTCCACGCCGACCATAACGTCCAGTGAATCGGAGATCGCACCGGTGGTCACCGAATACGAGGCCTCCTTGGAGGAGGAGGCCAACAAACGGAGGCAGACCTCCTCGAACTGGCGTGGCTCCAGCGATTCCTCTAGCCTTTGGGCCAAGATCGAGGACAGAAGCACTGTTAGCCTCGGATCGTCGAGTCAGAACAGCGAGGCCACAATGAAACCGAATCAGATGGATCGCAAATTAAACCGGCGATCAACCATTGAAGCAGAAACCGAAAAAAGGGAGAAGTCGGAGATTCTTCTCGTAGAACAGGGCTCGAGCTATTCTCGCCTTAGATCTTTAAGTAAGACTGACTCGCTTCATAAGGAAAAAGATAAAGGACAAACTGAGGATACTGGTGAAAAGTTCCCAAAAGAGTCGAGAAAGTCAACCCAGCAAAAAGAACAAAAGGTTACGAACGTATCCAATCAAGCAACTATAGAAGTAGAACCTTCCCCTAAAAATGGAGCTCATCTAAAGAAAAGTTCGCCAGCAACTACAGAAAATGAGGAGGAAATTTCGAAGGGTACTTCCACACAGCAAATGAAAAGGGAGTCACAATAGGAAAATAAAGAGCATAATCTTCATATGACTTAAGTTAATTTGGAAATTACAAAAATTTATAAATGATCCTGAATGTTCTTTAACAATTAAAGATAAGTTTAGTATAAAAATTTAGTTTTTTGTTTAAAGTAAGTCCCTTCTAAACTACTATGTATATTGTCTATATTGTCAACTATAAATTATTTATAATTATCAACACGTAGTGACTAGCGTATTAATTCATAAGTTTCTAAAACTTGTAACCCTAGGATAAGGGTCTGTTCTCGTCCGCCTGTTAAATTTAAAGTAGGGTTTAAACTCTGATTTCCCATACGATTTCAAGGTTTTAACCCTACTTTAAATTTAGCAAACGGACGAGAAAACGGCCCTAAATGAGTTTTAGTTGCAACTTACCTGTATGAGAGATACGTCCCCATTGGCCAGCAGATTGAGGGTTGCCAATAGCATCCAACCACTGCTGGTTTCCTCCGTGGTCTCCACCTCAAGAAACTTGACGATGGCTATAGATGCCGCCTCCGTGCTTTGGTTAGAAGCTCTCTTGCGGATTTCGCTGACCATGAGCCGGGAAACTTGCTGGCAAAAGGCGACCACATCCCAGAACTTTTCGCTCATGTCGTTTGCCGGACAGCTGCTAAAGACCTGCAACGATCGAAGGTTATAGGCTATATTCTCTATAGGGATTGGTTTACTCACCTTGCAGAAGAGTGGCAGCATCTCGTAGAGCTTGCCATCGCGCTCCTGCTCGCTGAGCGGTTCCCTCGGATGGGTATATTCGTTGAAGAGCTTCTTTAGGGTGCTGAGGCTCACTTGAACGCGGGCGTCCATCAGTGCCTCCTCGCTGGTTCGTCCATTGGCGGCGGGCACGGCGGCAAGATCGGAGGTGGATCTGTTTCCCCCAGGAGAACTGCTGTTTGCCGGCGAAGTGCCACCGCTGCTGCCACTAACGCCACCTGCGGTTGCCGCTCCGCGCAGCTTTCGCATTACGTTCATCTTTGTGTCGATTGATTTGCGGCCTTGTTAATCTGAGAAAAAAAGACTTCATTAGTTTTCGTTCTTTCTAATAATGTTTCTAATGAAACAGAATCATTTTCATTTATTATAATAATAATTAACCAGAACTGTTCTTCTTTCTACAGGAGTAGTACTTCATATTTGTATTTAAATATAATTATACATATTTATTTTTGATTGTATCTAAAAAATTAGCTTAAAACGTCTTAAAGTATCTACAGAATACAGAATGTACAGAATAGGTGATGAATTTAGTTTTGATGGGTAATACGTAATACGTAAACCTCAAATATTTGTATCATTATTTATGAATCCTATTCATGAGACACAGCTCATTACTAATGTAATTAAGAAAGGATTAATCAAACTTAAATAAATAATTATAAAATTATTTTAAAATTTAGATATATATATTAATAATGGTTTTACATGTAATTGTATTTTTGGTCACAATTGAAGTTTTATTTATAAAGTGACATTTATAAAGCAGTTAAGTTTCGGTTAGGATAGTAATTATGATGCGGAATCACATATGGAACCCGGCTGCTCATCGCAACAAGGTGTGACATTTCAGCGATTTATTTGCACAACACTGACACTAAACAGCAAACACAAACACAAACACTTTAAATTCAGCAAGTTAAGTGGTTTCTAAATCACATCACCGCACATTGCAGTTAGCGTTATTGCTTGTTTTCGCAGCTATTCTATTTCTGCTGCCGTCGCCTTAATTAGCGGCCGCTGGAGGTGAATCATGCGAAAAGTGCCGTCGTTGTAGGCGGATTCCATGCGATTATTTACTTTTATTTACTTTTCGGGAGTGAACGAACGTGCGAACGTTGTCTCTTTATTGAACATGTGTTGTTGTTGTGTTTGCTTTTAATTCAATTCATACGCATACACAAAAATTGAGCTGAAACTGCTTATTATTTACATTTTCAGCAAATATTTATCTTTGAGCGAGACAGCTGTTTAGGTTTACTTATTGCGCACTTGTTTGTTTGTTTACTCGAACTCCCTTTTCGAGTGCCGCTTTGCTTCTCTTTCCGGCCAACGCATTTGGGGCAGCTAACGGCCGTTCTGTTGTTGTTGCCCTTTTTGGGGCTCCGCTTAGACCACTCTTTCGTAGTCGCTCTTTGTTTTGCTCTGGTCAATCGCGCTTCACGACAATTTTATTGATTTTTCTTCCTCTCTCTCGCGTAGCTCGCGCTCTCTCTTTCCGCCCCCGCACCCCTCGCCAACCAGCAGACAGGTCGAAGTTGAAAATTTTCACAGCCACTTTTATCGCTTATTCGGCGGACTCATCACTTACTATTGCTATCCGTCGCTAGCATTGTGTTTCCCGTGTGAGTTTTCACTATTTTGGGCTATTATTACACTCGATTTACATCTTGTTTCTCCGTTGAAAAAGTCAAGCAAATTTTCTCCAGCTTTTGTGTCTACTCTCTTTTTCTTGTTCGTTTGAGTGTGGCCGAAGTGGCGCTAGGTGGAACACCTGTTCGCCATTTACGTCAGTATTGGAAAACGTTATAACGCAGGGTTGCCCTTGGGCTTGTAATCGGCGGTCTGGTTTGAAAATTCAAAAATAAACGGAACTGATAAGGGGATTTATGGATGATTGATGTTTTATTAAACGAGTAGAGTTTTTAAAGAGGCCAAAGCTATTTCAAAACTGTATTGGGAAATTTATTTGTTTTCATAAAATCTAAATAAAAGGATAATTTTTTGTGTAGTAAAAGATCTAAATATGATGATGATATCTAAATAGAAGAATTTTGTTGTACTTTTTCAAGTGATCTTAATGACTAAATTTTACATCCCAAAAAAACGTCAACCAATCTTTATTAATGAATTTAAAAAAAGTGATTTCCAATGCATTAATCCGAAAATTCACGCTAATTTTGATACGACAAAGCTTGATGTTTATTTTTTGTGATTACTTAGTTACTTTGCTAATGACCCGCTATCCCAAATTAGTAATAATAAATTAGTAATGAATTTAAAAATTGATAAATTTTCTTCAAGGTATATACATTAGTAAAATTAGTAAAATAAATTAGTAATGAATTTAAAAATTGATAAATTTTCTTCAAGGTATATACATTTTTATACCCGTTACTCGTAGAGTAAAAGGGTATATTGTATTCGTGCAAAAGTATGTAACAGGGAGAAGGAAGCGTTTCCCGACTCTATAAAGTATAGTACACTTCCGAGAAGTATAAATGAAATTTTGTTGTGTATATTTATACCTCTCAAAATGTAGAATTTTTAAAATCGGACCATCATATCCATCTCCCTTGCACTCCCTTTGGCTGAGTGACGGGTTTTAGATAGTCGGGACACCAACCCGACTTTAGCGTTCTTTCTTGTTTGTTTTGCTTTTCTTAAGCATTTTTAAAATCGATTGTTTTCCTTTAGTAACAAGTTACTGGTAGATCCTTTGAGGACTTGGAAAAAAATGCAATGAAATGTATTATTTATTTTAAAACAGCTCAATATTAAAAAAGGAGAAATGTCATAAAAACGATCTTATAGCTGTAAATGCTTACATTGCCAATAACAACGACCAACGTCCATTAATATCAGAATTTGTCTGTGGCAATACACCAAATACACACATTTGTAGGCATTTGTGAAAATCATTGTTGATTCTGGCTAGGGGTTATTAATATTTGTGTTTGCACTTCCACTTGTTATAATTGTCAGCATCAACAGATATTAGTCAGTTATGACAACAAAATTATTTGCATATTGATTGAGCACTCTGTTCTGAGCTCCATGTGTTGATAATGATGCAATTTGTTGATTCATTTATGGCAGATCCTGCTGCGAGTTTATTGGGTTTGATTGGCAAGGCAATCAAATGCAGCGCACGTCCGTCCGTCCGTCCTAATTTAACTGGAGCCAAAACCAATTCCGACCGCCTCCGAATTTAAATGCAGATTAAATTTCATTTTTGAATCAATTAGGGGTGCGAAAAGAAAAGGCGTGTCGTGCTAAATATTTACCCAGCTGTCTGGGCTCGGGGGAGAATTATCCTGATGTCCGACAGTCGTCTCGCTCCCCAAAAATAGTTTGCCTTGGGCGTTGGCCCCGCCACGCCCTTCCGTGACATGACCCCACTGACCCCTTGCGTGACTGTTCTGACCCACCCGCTCCCACATTCCTCATTTTTCCAGCTAGCCACACGAGCTTAGCTCAGGTTCCCCAATGCCTGTTTGTGTGGGAAAGCATTGGGGATTGGCACTCCCAAATATAATATCTTCCCACCTAGACAGGTACTTTGCGTACTTTCCTGTCTGCCACCCCCTCAAACGCTTTTTTTGGGGCCAGGGTTGAGGAAAGAACGGCGTCTGCGGCAATATTCTAATGGATTTTTCTTTTTCAGCTATAAATAGGCGCCCAACAACTGACAGAAATTGAAACAATATTTCAGATACTAGGAAGGGGCAAGGCAGCAAACCTTCAGTCGGTTAAATGTTGGTGATACTCTGAAAAGAAAGGTAGCAACATAAAAAAGGATTTGTGTTAAAAGATACGCAAAGCCAATGCAATTTAAGGCGCAAAGTAATGTTTGAAATTAGTGTAATGAATCGGTTGGTTTAATAATACTTCCCATGGTAAATTTCTGGTGCTTATACGCATATCGTTTTTACCACACAATACTGGTAAAATTGTTAAAATAAGTAATATCTTTTTGCCACCTCTCTCTCTAGAAAGAATAACTAATTCTCTCAATTCAAAATAGCGCTTAAAGTTATAAAGTACGCATAAACCACAATTTTACATATATTTCCCCCTTACATTTAAACATAATAAAACAACTCCTTTTAAGCCTCAGATATTTTACAACAGAAAGCATACCTAGCGGGGTCTTAGGAGGATTCGCAAAGAAATGTATCCTTTTTATTTTGTCGCGGGTTGCTTTTATACATGTAGCTTAGCCGCTTTCCCATGGCGGTTTTCACAGAACCACCTCCCTTTTCGGGCGGCTTTCGCAAAATTTAAAAGTGTAACCCCAAAAATCATTTTTGCAGCATTCATGTGGGACTCATTTGGCGGGGTTCCCCCCTTTTCCGGAACGAATAACTTTTATTCTCGTCTCAGCATCACCCACATTCACTTCCACTTCATCACTGTGCTGTTGTTGACAATGAGCGAAACATTTTCGGATCGAAATTGGCAAGACTCCAGAAGGGGGGACCAAGGGAAATTTTGGCCTCCATTCCCGAAAGACATGAATATTCATTCCTTGCGGAGCAAATTCTCAACTCGAAAGGAGATGCTTCAGGTTGCCGAGGATTTTGGGATTAACATAAAATTTCATTTGATTGTGTTTCGGTGAAGATTTTTATGGGATATAAGGGATTTTATATGGCAACTAACTTGTTTGGGTATCCGATGCAGATGCCTGCCTAGTGAAATCTCAACGGGCCATAAGATTGATGGGAATTGTTTATGTTATGGCCAAGGATGCCTGGACTGTATCGAGTTGGTTAGTGGGTAAAATGGGATAATTATGTGTTGATTGCGTTGAATTTAAAGTTAAACTGTGTACCAAATAAAGATTATTTAAATATAGGTATTTAGATGAAACGGCATTTACAAAAATAAAATAAATACATATTTTCTGTAACCCTTTTCTCGAAGCCGAAATGGGTATATTATAGTCGTTAAAACGAATCATCGAAGGAAGCTACTTCCACATAGATATCCGAAAACTTATTGGCGTAGTCGTATAAATACAGAGCTCTTCACAAATCCGGACAATAAAAAAAACGGCGATTATTTCACTGCAAACTGTGTTTTACGATGCAATTCGGCCATGATGGTGGTACAATATAAAAGATTGATGAGCTTTCTTTGATGAGCCCCTGTCAAGGTCGTTCCTCTTTTTTTTTGGGTGCCGTGTTCTTGTTGATTCTTTGCTCTGAATGCGCGTATTTGCCTGCGAAATTTTTCAAGCAAATATGAGTTGGGCAAACAGCCAGATAAAGTGCTTGGAGTGCTATAAAAGGAGAAATTACCGGCGGAAAGAGACACAGTTCCAGCATTGATTTCATCATGAATCGATTGGTGGCCATATTCAGTTTCTGCCTGCTTTTGGTGGCAGGACAATCGGTGGAGGAAGCACAGGAGGCACAGGTAGGAGATAGAAATTCCACATATAGATTTATAATTATAAATTCGGTATCAAATGAAAATTAATGGAATGAAAAAAAATTAATTTTAAGTGACTTTTGTGGTTTAAAATATAATAATATGTTTGTCTATTTGTTATAGCGATTTATTATTTTAAAAGTATTTGCACAAATTACACGTACTTACTCATAAAAAAATGTGCAAATACTTTTGACCATCCCTGTAGATAATATTATATCTATAATTAACCTTTTTAGCCTTGATGGGCATGATTTTAAAAAAAGGTCCAATCAGTTAGCCATTAAAGTTTAATTTACAACCTACAAAACTGGGACATCCATAGAAACAAATATTTTTATATATCTATATGTATTTCATAGGACTTTGTAACATTCTTATTCCCAGGTGTTGCCTGATAGCACCACCCCCTGGATCGACGAAGGCTTTCCGAATGGATCTGAAGAGCTCACCGAACTACCCGTGTCCATCGTAGAGGAGGAACCAAGTGACGTCCACAAGATAAACTGGCTGCCCGTGTGGGAGGAGCAGGAGCATCCCAGATTCGTCCGCCAAGTGGTGGAGACGCCGGCTGCCTCCATCCAGACCCCTGAGCTCTCAACTCACAGCTCTCCCAAGGAGACGGCGGAGGATGTGCTGCTGCCCAAGGACAACAAGGAGTGCCCCAGCAATGCCGAGCGGGGCCTGACCAATCTCGTCCGGGTGGCCCGTCCAATTCTGCCAGCTCCGCGACTGAGAAACATCCTGGCGAATGCCGTCGAGGACCCCCAGGTTCGGGATTTGATCAAGTTGCTCCGCAGCGATGGCCTCAAGGCTCAAGTTCAGCGCTTGAGAGCCACGAAGCAGCACCAGGTGCTCCATGACTACATCTGCCAGCGGCTCAAGCTGGATCCCGCCTATTACTTGGAGTTTGTGAGGGTGTTCCTCGATGTGCACATCACCGACCCGCCTACCAGTAAGCTTCCCAGCCGCCGACCGGGAGTCCGAGGACTCCTCCTGGATCTCCGCGACGCCCTGCCCCGCGCCACCCTGAGGGACATGTACCTGCGACTCTACTCCTCCGACGCGGAGCTTGCGAACTCCATTCGTCTCATCCGCGGCTCCGAGTTCCGCCGACTGCTGCGGGATCTGCGCACCCTCAAGGAGTACCGTTCCCTGGCCACCGAGCTGGAGAAGGCCGGAGTTCCACTGCGCCAGCTGCAGCAGCTGGTGGCCAATGCCCTGGGCTGGACCACCGTGGACATGGGCACCGAAACAGTGATCTGGAGTGTTTAGGTGGGATCTGTGGCTTCTGTGCAATATTTTCCTTTCTCTTGAGTCTCAATTTATCTTTCTAAATCTAAAGTGTGGAGGTTTTTAAAAAACACTAAAATAATTTACATTTTTATTTTCTTTATTCCTCACAATACTCAATTAAAACTTACCTTAAAAATAATATACCTTCTTTAAATATTTCTGGATAATCAATAAATTCTAAAAATAGATTCACCTACAATTTCATTTATATAATTTCTAAATACAACATGTTTTATTTTCGGAATGTTTCCATCAATTCGAAGTCAGGCATCCCAGAAGATGGGTTAATTTTATTTTCTTTATTTCTCACAATCTGAAAAATAACTATTTTGCAGGGACCGTAATCATTATAAGTGAAAAAATAAAAATCTCCATTTAATGATTATTTTGTAAGCGAAAAAAATATCGCTCAGAAATAATGATTATTATGTGAGCGATATTATTTCGCTTAAAAATATCACTCAAAGTGCGATTACAGCCGTTCTGTACGGAATTTTACAAACTTTTAAATTTCTGCTTGTAGGTAGAACCACGGAGCACACATCGAGTTAATAAAAGAAGGTGATTTCTTTGTATAAACTTTTTAAAACGCGGTTTTTAGTTGACATGAGGTATGCTTAAATACAACAAGTTGTATCAACCTTAGAACTTTATGTCATTTATTTATTAGTAAAACGACTTAACAAGATGTTATGAACTATTCCACTTAGATCCAACCCGACATGTGGGCTGGGTGTTAGTGTGTTGGTCCACCGAGCTGTAAGTACGAGTTCGATTCCCACAGAAACTGTTTTTATACAAAAAGATTTTTTTTGTTTTTTTAAGCGGTTTATACAAAGAAAATTAATTTTTTTCTTAACGGAATATGTGCTCCGTGGTTCTACCTACAAGAGCACATTAAAATCTTTGTAAAATTTCGCGTAGGACGGATGCAATCCCACTTTGAGTGATATTTTTGAGCGAAATATATCGCTCACAAAATAATCATTATTTCTGAGCGATATTTTTTTTGCTTACAAAATAATCATTAAATGGAGATTTTTATTTTTTACTCAAAAAAAATAATCATTATTTTCGGTCCCTGCTATTTTGTAATACTTAGAATTTATTGTTCATCCAAAAATAATAAGGGAAAACTTACCTTGAAAATAATATACTTTCTTTAAATGCAAATTTTTGGACGAACAATAAATTCTAAAAATGTATTTCCCTTAAAAAACAATTCTACAATTTTATTTCTACAATTTGTAAATACAACTAGTTTTATTTTTGGAATGTTTCCATCAATTAGACGTCAGTCATCCCACAATATGGGTTACTTCTCCCCCCAAGACGTCTGCAGATACATATAACTCATTCGCTGCAATTACATAAATAAATAGATGAAGGCTACCGCATCGATGTGTTTACGTCTTCCAGGGGCAGGCGACCGAAACCACTTCAAATTCGTTCAGGGTCAAAATCATTAGGGTAGCAATGTGTGGCAGTCTATTGTGTGGTAGCCTTTTGCGATCTGTTCTGGGCCGCTGTCGCCGCATGTTGCCACCGATTGCCACGCGGCGGATAGACAACAAACAAACTCCAAAATTGCTGCCACACATGTCGCCGTCTCCCAAGACTTAATCATCCGTGGTGCTGTCAACGCCGACTTGTAATCGAGGCAACAGTTGCCATAAACAAATTACAGACGGACCGGACAGACAGTGGCAGTGGATATTCTATATGTACTATAAATACGACTCGAAAGGGGCGAAACCCAGCGATGTTTACGGAAATACGCGAGCAATTTTTTATTTGATTTACTCCGCCAGAGCAGCGACAACAATCGGAGATGCAAGCTAAACGTGTCAAAATAAATAAACAATTTTTGGAAATACAAAGCGAAGACCGATCGATAAGCCAGCTGGTTCTGCGGTTTGATGGGGGGTTCTGTTGGTGGTTCGTATTGCGATTGCAGAAATTGAGACACTTTCGCCAGATTGCCAACTGCAAATGATAAGTCAGTGCTGAAAGTGTTGAAAGTGCTGGATGGGGCCACAAGTGGGTCAGTCTTGGCCAACACCTTCGGGTAATTTCACAGCGACAAAGGTAAGTCTGATTGGTAAATTGTTGGGAATAGTTTAGTTTCTTTATTTAAGCCTTTACCTCATAGCAAAGGTCATATGGCACAGACTGTACTTATAATATAAGTTTATGCAATTTTATTCTGCTGCAGACCATTTTTCCTAGAAGTAATTAGTTTTAAAGCTGAAAAGTCTTTTCGAAAAACTTTATACATAAAACATAGTCCTCGCCAACATTTTCCGAGTAGTAAAATCATGAAGCCATATACAAAAGACTTCATTAGCCTTGCAACTTAAGCTTTTGCCTGAGACTTTTTTCCCGCTTCAAAGTTCAATTGTTGGCCAGTTTTTCCACGGGTCAGTCTCCCTGGAAAAGCGTTCCTCAAAATTCCGACAATTGCTGTGCGGAATCACTGCAACGGCAACGTTTTTCTTCAACCTTTGTTGCAACATTTTCGTTCCGCCATTCAAACTCAATTAGGGAGAGTCGTTCACCTTCTTTGCCAGTCTGTTGTTGTTTGTCTTTTGTTGCTCAGGGCCCGTCCCTGTGGAGCGTACAATAGTCAGGAGCTTCCCGCCACCCACACCTTGGCTACATAAACTCTAAAAAATAACTCTTATATATGGTAGAATTTCATGTTATAATTTTGGGATAATCTAAAAGTGATAAGTGATGAACTTAAGAATTTTCTATTTTATCCACACACAAAAAAAAAAACTTTCCGGTCAAATTGATATGCGCATGGTAAATTTCTGGCATTGCATTTTGTTTTTACCGAAATCTCTTTCTCAGGAATAGAGCGAGTTAGCGCTTAAAGTTACATCAGTGGAAGGGAGAAAGACACATTCAAAACTCGAACTGGCCTGTTCCTTACATTTCGAGCATATCAAATCGATCATCGTTGCATATCATGTTTTGGTTGGGTGCATTTATTGTAATGATGTGAACCTTCTCTCAGTGTAGCAGTATGCTCCACTCCACTTTCAACTTTACGCTTCGTGCTTTCGAGTTTTAGTTGTCGAAGTCGCGGCAAATTTCCCCCTTTCTGATTTCTGGGCTGCAATTGCAATTGCAGTTGTTGTTAGAAGGCAGAAGGCTGAAGGCGACCATCTGAACACGCTTGGCCGAGCCGCGCTAATCTCGCAACTGTTTACCCACGCCGACTGTCAGACTAGCCAAGGCCAATAACCCCCTGGGTTCGCACTCGTACTCCAAATAATCCGCGGCAATCCAACGCATTTACCCCACACAACTGACAACGCTCAGATCGGTTTTTCAGTTTTTCAGTTGTTCAGTTTCTCGGCTTTTGGGGCCAAGAACTCGGGGCAGTTTTTGGCCATCAGTGCGGCTTTTTACGTCATCGAAATGATTGGATGGAAACGTATCCAAAGCGGAGGGCAGAAGCAGAAAAACTCTGGCCACGCCAACGGAAGCCATTAGAGGCTGGCCAAGAACACGGACCATGGACCACGGTTTTCTGGGAGGAGGCAGCAGGCATTCCAAGCAATTAATAATAATTTCCGCTGCCTCAAACAAAAAGCCACTTGGAAGCTTTTTCTCGTTCTCGTTTGCCGCGCTATGACTATGACTCTATTTTGCAGATGGCTATGGGGAAATGGGAGGGGTGTGGCTCCAACTCAAGTTTATATTTCCCAAGAACTAGCTAAAAGTTTGTGTTGTTTGTCTATGGCCAAGTCTCTGTTGCTAAGTTGGACTATCTGGAGCTGTGAAGCCGCAGATCTCAAGCAAAAGTGTATGGGTAGCAGGGGAGTACTAGCTTAAAAGAAACAACATTATATATTCTTTGATTTGTATGATTTGACTTTAACAAACTCTTTTTAAGCGGAAAAAATAAATCGTCATAATGTTGTATTAGAAATACAAGTAAGACCATTTGTCTAAGAACGATAACTTTAATAACTTTAAAAGATACAAAAATATTTTAGCATCGGAAATGGATTCTTTTCTTCAACACATGTCACTATGACCATGCTTATTCAAATAAAGTAGTTTGTAAAATCCCTTTCCTCATTGAAATAATTAACATTTTATTGGAGGGTCAAGTTTTTTCTTCGACACCTACTGCATTCCTAGGGTGAGTTCTTTGGACACTATAATTATTTAATATATGATGTCGGACTTCTCTACTAGCTTTCCTCGTTCGAACAGTAACCCCTATATTAACAACTTTGGACTGGGCGTTACGCATCTCGACAATTCACGCCTAATGAATGGGGACCACATATACCCATAAATCTAAGGCAAACTGGTGTTTAAGCATAAAACCGAAAACGAAACCAAACCACAAATCAAATTAAAATTCCAAAAAATGCTACATATGTATAGCTGGGAGTCATTAATCTCGGTGGGCCGTTAGAACCTCTCCTCACATGGAGGAGAAGAACTGCAACTGTGTTGATCTCTCAACAATCGCGCCGCCATGTAGACCAAACAAAGCAAACTCTTTTGCTGCCACGCATGACTTGGCGTTTGCTGGAGCGCTTAACCCAAATCGAAACAACATTTTTAGGGTGCATAATGGGAGTTATAAGTTGAAGTTTGAATACACTTCTGGAAAATAGTAAATACCTATATAAATGAAAGAAATAGGTATCAAAAGAATTATCTATATCTTTAGTAAAAGTACTTCACTTTTTTGATTCGGTGTATTAAGATGTACAAACATATCTTTTTATGTTTATCAAAGAATCAAAGTAAGGAAATATTTTATATACGTCAAAAATGTTGGGGGGATTTTTAGCTGCAAGAGCTTTTTCTGACATCTAAAATAAATTGGTATTAATTAATTGTATTTTTTTAAATCTTAAACTAAGATACTGCACTTACCTTATTTCTGAACTTATATATCGGCCATTAACTGTCCGAGTCGAATAAAAAGTATTCAATCGATGGGA